TTTATGAGCTTAAAAAATATATATCAGCGTATAGATTTATTATTGATTTATTTTTAATGTATGAAGCTGATGCTGTGGGGTAGGTGTCTGTTAAATCAGGTATCAGAATTTATTTATTATTTATTTTTATTTTACAAACTTAATTCTAAATTCTAGTTTACACTGTTATTGAGAAGCATGTTTCTCAAACACAGAAATACACACATGCACAGACAGGACAATTAATGTAGAGATGTGGGAGTGGGGCTGCTACACACTGTTGGGGGTTTGGTGCTTTGCTCAAGGGCACCTCTGCAGTATTTGGGAAGTAACCTAGCACCTCTCCAGCAACCAGAACAACTACCATAGTTTTTTTACAGTCTGCACCAGGACTTGAACCGGCGGTTCCTGACCCTGTCTCCCTGGAGCTGAGCTACTGCCACCCCGATACATGTTACAGAATAATCCAGTTTTTTTTACATTTCCCACAGAAAAGATTCTCAACAAGTAATACGACTGTTAAAAGAGAGCAAGATGTTTCAATCAGCTGTCAGATGAGTCTCAAAACTACTTAATTTCTGTTACACTTCAGGAATTTGAGAAAATTATACTGATCGCCTGTGAAATGAATGTGTAATCCCAAGGCCAATATCAGCTGACCATCACCAGCACACGACCTTTCAGAGGCACTAGTTGTTAGTGATATCTGAGAATCCAGTAACAGTGTAAGAGAGTGAACTGTGGCTTCCTGACACTCCTGGACAAAGCCTGTCAGTGCTGTAATCCTTTAATAAAAACACACAAAGGAGGACACACCCATCCACTGACAGACACACACCTGAGAAAGTAACACACACTGCTGCCCCGAGGTCACAGCCAGAGGGACCACACACAGAGACAAAGACGTTTTTACTAACTGAAATATTAAGCCTTAAGGTCAATAACCATTTTACAGTAAGCTCGGAGGAGAATGGCGAGGGATGAGAGTAAATGTTAATGCAGAAAAACAGACGAGAAGTCCCACATGTTTTAACCTCTTTTATTATCTTTGACATTTTAACTTCAGTCATTCATTTACAGCACAAAGGACTCACTGAGCTCTGAATCAGACAGCATCTTAGTAACATCATTCTCCAGAAAATAGAGTTATAATTCACTTTCTAAGATAATAATAACAATAATAATAATAATACACCTGGAACAATCAAATATACAACAATGATCTTTTGTATTTATATTGAAAATCAAATGGAAAAAAAATAGATTTATCTAGTTGTATTGAACATGACGGTGAAAAAGACAACACAATCACAGGTTACATGTATACACAGCTAGAAACTCAGAATTTGGTGGAAATGTGGGTGTCACAGACATTTAAACAGTAACAGTAGAGCTTCAGTTTGACAGCTGTGGGACTTTTTCATCGTACTGTACTTTTTTTCTGCAGCTGTTATTGCTTGAATGAGCTCAATTTGTGTTCTTGCATAACAGGTAATATGCTAGTTAGCTTAGCATAGAGACTGGGAGAAGGGAAAATGGCTGGCCTTTATACATCCAGAAGAAACTAAATCCATCCCTAAAATGGACTCATTAACATGCTTAATATGCACACACACACACACACACACACACACACACACACACACACACACACACACACACACACACACACACACACACACACACACACACACACACACACACACACACACACACATATATATGTGTGGGTGTGTAGATTCTGTCTTCACATACAGAGAACCTGGTGATTTGTGTCTTTTTGCTACTGGACTCCCTAAAGACAGAGAGTTTCATTCAGAGCGGTGCATTGGGTCATCTAACTAGAACAGCTAACAGAACAGCAACCTTAAAAGTGTTTTATTCCCTAATTTCTTGGCTGTAATAATAATTAAAGGGCCACATGGTTTTTCAAATCATGCACCGCTATGTCCTGAAAAACTACACCCATCCAGGTGACATACTGTACTTTTAGGGAGTCCTAAATAAACTAAAGAGCAAATTACCCACAATGTAAACTCTTTCTTTAAATCCTCACTTGGGTAAAACAAAGACTAGTGCACATGTTTGTGAAATTTTGGAATGATTTTAAAATAAAGTGACACAAAGCAGCATGTTAATGCTGTACAAATGAGACAATCGTGTTCTTTGCAGAAATGTTTTTAATTGAAGGATAAAATTGCGGTGAAAGTAGTCCACTGGACATCAAAAGCTTTAACTCTGATTTCCTGTGTGTAAATGCAGTCTGTGTTTTGGCATTTTAGACTTCAGTGATTGATTGATTCTTCTGTGATCTATTGCTCATGTCTATGCGTGCTCCAGGAAATTCTCAAAGGTCATTACAGCAGATTAAACGTATGTGTGTGTGTGTGTTTGAGATTCAGTAACATTTAGCTCACAAGGGAAACATTAATTACTCTGTGTGTGTGTGTCTGTGTGTGTGTGTGTGTGTGTGTGTGTGTGTGTGTGTGTGTGTGTGTGTGTGTGTGTAAAAGAATGTTTGGACAAAAAAAACCTGTAAACAAAATGTAAACTCTGAGGTTCTCTAAATGCTAGTGATGTAAGAGTGGGAACTTCAATTTAAGATTATTTACATCTTTGAAGAGGACCAAACAACAAACACACTCACAGCATACTACAAATACAACCACTCACAACTATGCACACACACACACACACACACACACACACACACACACACACACGGGTGTACACTTATAGACACAAGCAACCGATCAGCATACAGACACATGCCCTCACACTTACATAGTCACAGCAAGGCATTGTGGGAAGGTTGGGTGGACAAGGGGCAGCGTGTATGTGTGGTTATGTGTGTGTTTCTGAACGTATGGCAGTAAAACTTTGTGTTAGTGGCATGCAGGCATGCTGTGTGTACATGTTGTGTGTACATGTTGTGTGTACATGTTGTGTGTACATGTTGTGTGTACATGTTGTGTGTACATGCTGTGTGTACATGTTGTGGGTACATGTGTGTACATGTGTGTTTGTGTGCAGGTCCATCATTTGTGCCACTGTGCTATAGTACTGAGGCGATAACTGTTAAGAGAGTGTATGAGTGTGTGTTTTATAGAGCTCTGGGAATGATGGTGAAGGGCAAAATGGGGCTGCTGGCCTCCAGCTCCAATGCGGTGAGGAAACACTCGGTGGCAGCGGCAGCATTTCCCTGAGCCTGCAGGACCTCCCCCAGGCTGTTCCACACGTCATGAGCCGTACTGTGGAGGGGAGGGAGGAGGGGAGGAGGGGAGAGGAGGGGGAGAACAGGGCAAGAGGGAGAGGAGAAGAATAAAGAAAGAGGAGAAAGAAGAGGAAGGAGGAACAAAGAAAGATTAAAGGAGAAGAAAGAAAAGAGAAGTGAGGAAAGGAGAGGAAAGCAGGGGGCATTATGGAAGGAAATGAGAAGTGGAAGGAAGAGGGGGGGATTAGAGGAGAGGGAAAAACGATAATATGAGGAGAGAAGGAAATCAGAGAAGAGGGGGTAATAGAAGACGTGAGAGAAGAGAGAAAAGGGAAGAAAGGAGAGGAAGAGGAGAATAAACAAAGACAGGGGAGGAGAGAGGAGATGAGAAAACAGTTGATAGGGTGAGAGGAGCAGCACATCACAGGGGGCAGATATCTTATTAATCACACACACACACACACACACACACACACACACACACACACACACACACACACACACACACACACACACACACACACACACACACACACACACACACACACACACACACACACACACACACACACACACACACACACACACACACACACACACACACACACACACCTGTTGACCTGTACAGCATCTCTCAGGACTTTTTCCGACAGAGAGTAGCGCTGCAGCTGATGAAGAATCAGACCCTGTGGAAGGTTAAAAATAAATAAAGAGGAAGATGAAGAATGAGAAGACCATAATAAGACTCACAGTATGTTACCTCTGGAATATTATATTATTCACTCAATTCGTTTTTCTTTTTTTAAATCTCCTGTGAGGACTTTTAGCTGGTTTTAAAACAGACTGAAGTTAGAGCTGAAGTTAGAGCTGATACCACTGTATGACATAAAAAGCAAACCAGATGAGATCTTTGATGCATGTTGGGACACAACAGACTTTGTTTACATTTTTCATGGCAAAGCTTTCGATTGAGTGACAAGTTTGACTGTTAATGAAAGAGAATAGATGAGATTCTTTGTCAGAAAACCTGATGTATGCATGTACAGGACAAGATCAGTAAATAGATAATATGTAATGTTTTTAAACTTCCATTTCCTGTTGCCGAGATCGACACAGCTTGAAAGTTCCTTGCCAGCTTTTAAAGTGTTGTTTACAAATACGTATTTACAGTGCATTCTTGATCTGGCTTATATAAAGGTGTGGTGTCTCATCAACCCAAAATAATGAATTAATTTCTTTCATTTGGGTCGAGGGTAAAAATGGTGAGCCATCCTAGTTACAAACTAGCCCTCTAAAGTTTAGCATCCACGCTGCAGGCAGAGGGCACAGGGCTCATAATGAGGTTGAGCCAATAATAAAGCAGAAAAAAAAGAGACTGTGTCCCCTCTCTTCATAAAGGGTCTGAGCTGTCCCAGAAGACTGGAGCTGATTACATAAAACAAACAAACCCTGTAAGGACACAGCATGCTGATAGGACAAGATTTGCTAAGTTCTCATGACACCAAACACAAGGACAGAAGGACAACACATCACAAAGTGTTGGTGTATTACCAGTCTCTGCATGGTCTTAACGTGCGTCGGGTTGATGGACAGGGCCTCTTCATACCAGCGTTTGGCCTCATCCATGTTGCCCCGCAGCTCGGCTATCTGCCCCCTCATGTACAGCACGTTATGGGATGTGGGGAAGAGGTTGGCTGCTTCCTGCGTGCAGGCTGAGGCCTCGGCAGGCTTGGACATGCCAGTGTACACTTCAGCTACCAGAGAAAACACAGACGGAGAGCAGACATCAGGAACATGAACGTTACACTCTGAGTTTAGAACGATTCCCATCGTTTGATTTCATTTTCATGGCTTTCAAAACTCAGTGTCGTTGTCAAGTCAAGTGGTAGATTGGGAATAATAAAAAAAAAAAAACAGTCAATACAAATGGCAGCCTCAAAAGTAAGACTGCATTTCCAAAACATGTCTGTGTTATGTGGTACAGAGCGGATGCATCCTCAACACAAATCACATTTTAAACCTGTAAAACATGAACTGATGTATACAGCTTGGACATTTTTACTTAACACTAGATATATGGCCCCCCGGTGGTGGAATGAACTTCCAAACTCCATTGGATCTGCAGAATCTTTCATGAATACCTACTAACTTAATGATGATGGTCTCCATATTATTGATGATGATGATGGTAATGACGATGGTTTTTGTTTGATAACGATGACTTATAAGATGGTTTCTATACTGATTAGAGCTCTCAAGAACTGCCCTCAATGTTGTTATTTGCCTCTGGTCACTTCCTGTCAGCACCTGTGTGTCCAATCAGACTCTAAGCTGATCGTTTGCTCTTACTGACATTGTTCCCTTTTTTCTAGATCCTTGCTTGTGTTGTTCTTACTCTCTGATGTACGTCGCTTTGGAGAAAAGCGTCTGCTAAGTGAATTGTAGAATATACACAGCCCATTATATGAACATGAGAATTCCTGTATTTTAAAACCTGTTAGAGGTCTTGATGAACTAAAGGTTAAAATAAAAGCTTCAGAATACTCCAGATTTAGCCACACAAAAAGGGCTGCACTGTAATATCTATAGAACATGAAAGAAAAGTGTGTGTACTGAAAGCGCTTGTTGTTGCTGCAGATTGTTTTTTTGAAGTATCTTAGATGATGGAAAGGACTCTGGTAGAAGGAACATTTCTTTAGCGGTAAGATCCTTTTTTATCCAGACAGCTGTTGCATCACTGTTTTTAAAGCCACCAGACTCCATTGACAAAAACAATTATTTCACCTTGCATATCCTTGAAGCTTCATCTGCCTGAATCAGTTTGTGGGCGTTTGTGCGATTTTTGATGGCTTAAAAGATTAGCTTAGATTTAACATAACATTACCTTACAATAATACAAAAGAAACTTCAGGGATTGAAGCAACAACCCACTCCCATGTCCTGCACTGTAAATGCTAAGTGGACTTGCAGGCGCTTTGAGTAGTCAGAAGAATTGAATAGTGCTACAAGCAGGTTACATCCCTTCATACACATTCACACGCTGATGGAAGAGGCTGCTGTGTAAAGAGTCCATCAGCATTAACTCATCCATTCATACTCACACGTCACCGAGGCAGCAGGAGCAACTTGGGGGTAAATGTCTTGCCAAAGGACACATCAGACATGTGGCTGCAGGAGCTGGGGATCGAACCCCTGACCTTCTGGTTGAGAGACGTTCGATTATCTCTGATCTACAGCCGCCCCTGTAAAACTATTGTTCTTATCAATGGAAACTTGTAGCTTTGTGGACAGCAGGTTTTTCTTGTTTTAAGAAAGGTACCTTTAACAAAAAGGTTTTATTGTTGTTGACACTTATATTGACAATCGGAGCCTGTTAGTCAAAAGAAACAAGCACTCTGTACTGAGAACTTTTGCTGAAGAATTAAATGGAAATAACAACCCATGTGGAGGCTAGGGGCAAAGCGGATCTAAAGGAGCAATTCACAAACTTTTCTTGCCTATAAGTCATTTAAATCACCAAATAAGTACAAAATTAAACACATTTTAATACTGTAATTAGGTTAGGTAAAGAATATTTTAAAATCATGTAAGAATCAGAAAATGAGAGAGTGAAATCAGATAGGAAGCAAAACTACTACTTCTCTCAAATTGCATCAATAAAGGAGAATTTATGTAAAGAAGATGGAAAGATACAAAGAAGGAGACAGACCGGAAACAATTGTGAACGGTCTGCCTGTCTGTCTTCTGATTGGATGATTACATTAGCTGTGTCGCCAAGCTGGAAATGACCAGGAAGCAGCTGGACAGATAAATAGGGACATAAACAACCTCTGTTTATGTGTTTATGTGTTTATGTGTTTATGTGTGTGTGTGTGTGTATCTGCATCTGTTCATGTATACTCTTCAGTCTGTTGATGTTTGTGTCTGCTGCTGATGCAGAAAGTATCCGTGTACTCCAGAGGAAATCTGATCTGGTGTGACTGTAACACATCAAACTAACATTGAACAAAGTCCTGAAAGCTAATGCTAGCTCACTCTTAAAAACATAAGACTCAATGTTTGATGAGTCGCTGCTATGAGAACCATCTGTGTCATAATCTACAATAAAAGTGAAGGTGAAGGGGGGATGGTGCATTGCAGTATTTGGTGGTGGGTAAGTATTGACAACTCCATGATCAATAAGTACCCACACTGTAGACAAATATAGCATAACGCTTGCAAACTCAACCTTTTAAATGTATAACTTTGAAGCACACAGTAATACCAGCCATATTTATTTTTGGGGAAATTAAAGGGTATTCATACAAGAATAAAATATTACCTTTCTGATTAAAATACTAAAAATACAAGTAACAATAAGATTACTTTGTCCAGAATGTAATTAACATATAATATATTAAAAGCTTGATTATTACTATTTATAACCTATTATTAGTTATTTCACTGATTTTGAAGTCCTGTAGTTCAATATTTGAAGGATTTTTGAGTTCTGAAAAGACAAAAATATCCCATATTTAATTTAAATTTCCCAGTGACTAGAGGCTTCAGTCAGACTGGAACAATAATCTTTATTTCATGAAGTTTGTCTTTCTCTCTGTAAAACCCTTAAATCTCATCAAAATGTCAACATGTTTCAGTCCGAAGCTTTTGTCTGTGTTTCAAAGACAAATGTCTGGCCCGCAGCCAGATGACTTACCAGTGAAAAAGAAAATAATTAAACAGAAATTGCAAAGAAATACAATTCAATAACATATAAAATATAATTGATCATCCAACATCTTAAAGAAAATTATTTACAATGATACCAACTTCCTTATAGGTGAGCATGCTAGCTCATTTAAAATACCAGCACTGTGCATGCTTCTGCTGCAGTTTCCTGATACTGAATATTAACATGCTCACCTGCATGCAGCCAGATCTGAGCCAGGGTCATCCAGGGGTGCATGGGTCCATGTTTGGGGGCGCTGCTCTGCAGAGAGGAGGCGACCTCAGACAGAGCCTGCTCCACACGGCTGGCTGCTATAGACGTAGCATGAACTGAACCTGGAGGGAGAGAATCAAACCATTACACACACATCTCCATGAGGTGGTGACTTACTAACTACTACATCAGCAGCAGCGTTAGGCAGCCATGTGCCACAATGCAGGATTTTTTTACTCAACCAAACACAACAGCAGGTTTCACTGATCCACGACTTCAGAGAGAGAAAAAAAAGGAGCAGTGAAATCTGGAGTGTTTGGGTGCAGTAAAAAAAAAAAGAAAGAAGAAGCTCAAAACTATGGGCCCACATTGGCACACAGTTTCCTGTTCCTGCACTAAAGCTTTTAATCAGTCCACACCATTCCACACGCTGCCGCACACGCTGTTATGGCCCTGGATTAACCAGGTTAGAATTAATTAATTTCTGCACCGCCATGCATAAACACTGCACCAACCTGCACTCTGCTGATTAGTAAGTGAGAGAAGTGTGTCTCGGATTTTGTCTCTGCATTTGAGTGACATCAGATTATTACAGGGACGCAAAATGGCCACCAAATGGGACTACAGATACACGCTGCAGATCTGTGAAAGCAAAATATACTACCCCAAATACTTTAGCTCAATGGTATAAAAGCTTGATTTTAATTAAACATCCACCATTCCTTTTTTTATTCCTCTCCTATTGTGGGGTCTACACTCCCGCATGCTTGTTCTTTTCCTCCACTGCACTCAGTTCAAGCGTATGTGTTATGGGAAAGATGCTAAGAGTGTGTAAAAGTGAAAGATGGTTAAAAAGAGAGGATTTTAATGGATGAATGGATTTAATGGACTTGAGTGGCCAGGAAGTTATTAAATGTCAGCATGCAGCAGCCCAGCCTGATGAAGCAGTTAAACATGTTACACTATGTGGAAACATGTGTATTGCTTTCTTAATTAAGGAAGGATTTTACTTTGAAATCTAACACTCCTCAGCTTGTGTGAACTGCATCCTTTATTTTCACTGTGCTCTGTCTTAATCATGCTTTGTACTACCTGCTACATCACATTTAGACAGTAATGCACAAGAGTAGAGAAAGGGCTGAAAGTCAGTAAAAGAGATAAAAGATGATGCAGGATGAACCTGAGGAAGCTACAGGTGGAACACGTTGTTCGCTCAAAATAAAGTTACAGTAAAGTCATTTTCAACGTGCCACACATGATTTATTTATTTTTCATGTTCCTTCAACCGAGTGGCTCCTGAGAATGTAGGTTGGCTATGCACGGGGTACCCTGTTGGTGATGCAGTTGGAGAAAGACATAGAGAAGGGTACTGGATATATTCTTAAGGATTGCTTTTACTTTTTCCCATTTTGTGTCCCCTTTCAGTCAAAGAAAAAACAAGTTTGAGCTAGAGGAAGAAATGTTTTTCTTTTGGATATAGAAATCCAGTTCTCACACGGTGAGATTCACCATTTTGCTGTCAGATTACTGAGAAAGCTTCCTGTCGTTTCCTGTGCCTATGATGTGGACATCTCACACAGCAACACATGCACCAAAGCTGCTTGTTGAACTAAAGGAATACACTGACTCACAGGAACAATACACCACCAGTCACCACACTGGACGACTGGTTAGTGAGTGTTTACTCCCTGGGCCTCCTCTCTTATGCACATTTCATTTGCAGCAGGATGATAATTCTTTTGACTGAGCATGTAGTGATAATGGCTGGCAGTAACTCATTTAATCCTGATGACAGACAGACAGAAGGGAATTTATTATATAAGTTTCCCTTATCAGGATTATCAATGGGACATCTATTAAATTCTTCCTTCCTTTTTTTACACTTTGGTCAAATTAGAACTCAAATCAAATAAGAGCATTACTAACTTTTGTGTCATGCGACCAAAGATGTTGTTGAGAATTACAATCAGGAAATTAAGCTGCTTTCTACCCCTTTTTTTTCTGGGGACGTTGTGTGAACATTTTCTCTGTTTTTGCATTATTGAAAAGCATTTACATTTCAGAAAGTCTCAGCATCCTCTTAAGCTTTAAAGTATCGCAGTAAATTTCCCGCAAGTTCCATAGTTGGTTTCTGCACACTTATCGATCATCTCTTTAATCCGGAAAAATTGCAAAAAAAAAAAAAAAAGTGTATGCACAACTCTGCTTTCCTTTAAGTCGTTGTATTCCTTTAACTCATACACCATCAACATGATAATTTGGAACAGTTCTCCTGGAAACTGACTGCAGACATCAAGTTAAAGCGGGGGGGGGGGGGGGGGGGTATATGTACATATTCTCTTCTCTGCAAATGCTGTACATATATCAGAACCTCATCAGGAAAGAGGGAGGGTCAACGTGGACCCAATGATGAAGAGAACAATGGATGGAAAAAGGAAGATCAGATGGAGGTTAGATGGCTACTTACAAACAGAAAACATGGAGGAAAAACCAAGAGTGTTAGCGTCCTGAAGGCCGCCTTAAAAAACGGAGGGATGTGAAAAAAAACAAAACAGAAAGACGATTGTTAATGATTAAAAGAGAGTAAGAGGCAGAGAAGAAATATCAAAATTATAAAAGATAAAAAAGATGCTGATCCCAGGAGGAAGAGAGCAGAGAACAAGGAGGAACTTCACATTAGCTTAAAGAGGACATATTATCCCCCTCCTCCACCTTTTCAAACAGTCCCCTGTGGTCTTAATGAAACATCTGTGCTGTGGTCAAAATATAACATGAATCAAGCACCAGAGGAGGTTTGTGACCCTGTATAAACCAGCTCTCTCAGAACGCTCTGTTTTGGTGTGTGTGTCTCTTTAAATGCAATGACCCCGCCCCTTGAGTTTTCCCCGTAGACATCACTCCTCTGTAGTGAGAATAAAAATGGCAGACCTGCTCAAAAGTTTTGCTCTAGACTGGGGGAAGGATCATTACCGGTTGAGATCCCCGCACCCGAGGCCCCTCGGTGCTGGCAGCGGATCGTCACTCAAAAAAACTCTCTCTTGTATAGAGATATCAGGGGAGGGGAGGGGATTTATTTTTTTTTTTTTACTAGAATCCCACTGTGACATCACAAGGAGCGCACATTTGAAACAGAGCATTTTCCTCTGTGTTGTTAGACTTATGCAGACCACAAACAAAGGACTGGATGGATTTATTTCACATTTTGTGGGTCTGTAGACACTCAGGTTACCCAAATATATGTTCAAAAACACTGTAAGAGGAATTTTCATAACATGTCCCCTTTAAGTCAGATGAGACCAGATGCTTCCACTTGCCATTTTACACTGGAATCAAAACAGCAATAAAGATTGAATAACTAAAAGCATGAAAGAGTCTCATCTTCCTCTGCTATATAACACCTCATCTTAGGTTATTATTGTCACAACCCAGCTCACAGACTGTGACAAGCGGATTCTTAAAATGAGGCACGTGCAGAGTAACATTTATTTGGCATTTCAGCACCATTGTATTTATATTAGAAATGACTGTGCCAAATGTTTACCTCACAGGGCTTTAAAAAGACTTACAATGCACACAAGAAAGAAGTGCTTCACCATCAAAATGATGAATAAATATATTTTAAAATCTTATCATAGCTTCAGACATCACAATCATAGTGATGGACTAAAATCCACAGCTTTAAATAATGCAACTTTTCTCAGGCTGACCGAAAAAAATACAGCTCTGGAGCAATAAAAAAGGGAGCTAAATTATTCATCAAAATAACAACCGTTAGTTTTGATTGTGAACATCATTAGAAGAAGAAATGGCAACAAGGAGGGACGACACAAGGTTGGGATAAATAAAGGATGGCTGGAATGAGAAATCCTCAGAGGAAAGAGGAGGATGCAGAAACAGGCGACAAATGGATAGTAAAAAAAAAGAGCAGATAGATGTGAAGAGACAAAAACGTGTAAATGTTTAATACGATTCCAACTGATCTATAACTCTGAACTTTAAATGTGTTTGTGATGTGACTAAGCTAAACCGAGACAGAAGCTACAGAATGCTAAACAGCACTCAAATCAGTCCTCAAAGCATCAACATGTTACCATGCACAGAACAGGAACTACATGTGAGACTATTAAGTACTTTTTGTCTTGATTAGTCGGCATAGTTTTATACTCATTGTCCATGCTTTTGAGGTTTCATTAATTGGTGAAAATCAAGATTGGCCTTGTATTGCACAACACTCAAGAAGCAAATCCAGTCAGAGGGGCCATCAGCTCGTTGGTAAACTCACGGGTTGTGTCAGTGATGAGAGAAAATCCCCAAATAATCCTCCAGTGCTCCGAGCTAACACAGAAGCAATGTGTTACAAAGGTAAGGCGCTAGCTGTAGTAATTGATGTTTACATGAAAGCAGGACACTAAGGACTGTTAGGATCATCACGCTTTGACAGTTTATACTCATGAATACAGGACATAGATCTTTGAGTATTTCTGATTGATTCTTCTCAGTTTTCACACATACTGTATGTCAGGTGATGGTGGCAGACCTTCAGGACAAAGGTTACTAACACCAACTCCACCAGTTTATTCTAATCATGTGAAATAAAGATGCTATGAATGTTTGGCAAGTGGCCTTTAGAGCACAGAGGAAAATATATTTTTTTTAAGATTTATTTTTGGGCTTTTTGTGCCTTTAATGGAGAGATAGGACAGTGGATAGAGCCAGAAATCAGGGAGAGAGAGTGGGGAACGACATGCGGGAAAGAAGCCACAGGCTGGATGTGAACCCGGGCCGCCCACTTGAGACGACAGCCTCCATACATGGGGGGCGCGCACTAACCACTGCGCCACCAGCGCCCCACACGGAGGAAAATAGAGGAGGTTGGTGGTGATCTGCTAAAATGGTCACATTGTTCTAACTTCCTATTTCTTTGCAGTAACACTCACTAAAAACAGGTGAAATGGTAAATGGAATACAGTTGAACAGATTTAACAGGAGCTATGGTTGAAATTGAAACTTGTTTAAAGGAAGCATCAACAAAGGAAAATCACTCAACATGATATATCTTATTCCTCTGTGCCAGGACTCCATTGTTGTACAAAAACTAATTAGAAACACATCAGTGAGTCACACGGCTGTACTGTGCCAAATTTTCTTTTCATTAACATGAACATGGGCGCTGTACTTATTTTTAATCATTTCCACTTAGACCACCCTTCTGCTGTACATATTTGTTTGTTTATCTAATCACAGCTTAAAGAAGTTCTCTACTAATAAAATCATCTTAAATGTTAAGGTAATGTTAGCTTAAAAAAACATTACATGTTCATTTCTACAGAAGTATGTCCTCAGTGGCTTTGCAGGCTTGAGGCTTAGAATCATAGATGGGATGGGGAGGTTGGAAATATTGCCAGACCTGCTCACACTTTGGTTTGGGCCTTTTCATCAGAATAAGAATAAAAGGAAATCACTGTTCCTTTTCTGTACAATGTAATCCTTTGACTTGTGCACTCATGGGCACCTTAGGCCTGTGTGATAATCACATGTGGTTCATAACATTTAGTCTTAATGTAGGAAGACTCGCAGTTACACATTGTGTTTGTAAAAAACTGATGGGAATGTGCGTTTTACCAACAGTTTATATCTGCAGTAAGTCCATATTCCAGTTTCTCGATTTCTCTATATCTCTATATAATGTAGTCTTCTACTTGGGGTGTGGCCACAGGATTCATCAACATGCTGTTTAACTCAGAGCACCGGAGATTACAGCAATGTGGGAATGCTCTCATTACAAAACACACCATTTAATTAAAGAGCCAATCTCCCCAAAAAACTTAGTGTACTCTTTTCTGTCACTCGACACACCATGCTAAAGGCTGAGTGTGCATGGAGGCGGATTACAGCTGGAGGAGAGCTTGCGCAGAGTGACGTGGTTGCAAAAGGAGTGAGTCCTGGTCTTGGTGGGCGCAGGAGGAGGAGGAGGAGGAGGAGGAGAGGGAGGGAGGAAAGATGGATTTTTAGGTGGGGGGAGAGGGGGAGGCTGGAGGATGAATACAGGGGAAGAAGGGGAGGACAGTGGTGAGGAGAGGCTGGAGAAGGTGGAGAAGGTGGAGAAGGTGGAAAGGGTGGATGGGGAGGTGGGGGAGACCAGTTCAGAACCAGAGTGAGAAGATGAAGAACCTGAGACTTACACAAACAGGAAATAAAAGAGAAATGAGTGAAATCAAACATAAACTAAAGACTGAAAACAACAAAACATGAATCACTGTTTTGCAGTCTGCAACATTTTTCTATGATTGAAAACAATATTTCACACAATTCTGTCCTAACTGTTCAAAATAAATCATCAGAATTACTAAATAAAGCAGCAACTTATTAAACAGAAGAAATTGCAGTATTGTAATAGTAATTTTAAAAAGATCATAAAAGGGTCAAGGTTTCCATATAAATGTCCTTCTGTATCTGTAGACAAGATGAAGAGTACATACATATTAAAACAATAAAGAGGGAGATGTAAACAGTTTTATCTTGATGATCTTTCCATTATAAAATGATGACTGGTTTAGAAGTGGTAGGGTCAAATTAAAGAAGAGAGCTGAATCAGAGTTATGTATTCTTTTTTGCTTAAGGAGATTCATAACTTAGAAAAATGACCCTGTATAGTGTCCATTATAATACTCTAGAGTCGAAGAAAAGATGCTCCTGTGATTCCTTATTTATGCTACGTTAGCTGAAAATATTCCGTAAAGGAAAGGAGACACTTAGTTATCACACGGTTTTTCATTTTTCCTCAGATGTAACATTCAGAGAGGGAAATTCATAAAATGTTATTAAAATGATCTTGTCCTTAGGCTGTGCTCCAGTGGAAAAGCTTGTTTCATGGTTAGTGTGTAGGTTTGTCTACCTGTGTCAGGATCACTGAAGTCAGGCAGAGTCATGGCGTTGAGCTGTCGTCTGTCTGCTACGGCTCTGTCCAACAAGCTGCTGCCACGCCCCGAATCACTGCCACAAACAAATCATTGTTGACACACAGATATGCACAACATGTACATTTGGTTGGTAGGGACACAAACAGCTGTCTCGTGGGAGAAAGTCCTGTGATTAGTCGACCACCTTAACAAGCCTATCAAGGCACAGTAGTGATGGACTAAGTGGTAACAAATACTGCATGGTGTGACAGGGCCCTGAGGACAACTATGCTCAGCTTGTTATCAAGCCGAAACTTCCTGGGGCGTCGATGACCTAGAGGTTAGGTCCTGCCCCATGTAGGGAGGCTATAGTCCTCCAAGCGTATGGCCTGGTTTCAAGTTTGACCTCTTGCTTCTGTCTCCCATGTCATTCTCTCCAATCTCTCCCAATTTCCTGATCTGTCCAATGTCCTATCTCATAAAGGCTACATGGAGCAAATAGACTTCCCGTTCATGCAGTTCATTGCTTTTTTTTCCAAGCAACTGATTAACACATAACGCATTATGTCCTTGCAAAGAGATTTTTGAAAGTGATTCAGATAATCACTGGTTTGAATGGAAAAAACAAAGATGAGGATTTGAACTTGGCAGTGTTTTGCCTGTTTGTGCATACCTGGGATTGGTAAGGTTGTAAAAGCTCTTCCAGATCTGCAGCATGTGTTTACAGGTAAGCAGAGCTTCCTCTGGTCCTCTACACATCGACTCCAACTTGACCTTGGTATACAGCAGACTGCGACACACAGCAAACAGAAATAAAACCTCTGAAACAGAGATACAGACACTTTGAGTGTGCTTTAAATGAAGTGGTTGGGTAGCCTGCAGGTCTTACTTGAAGTTTTCAGGGTACTCGGACAGAGCCATCTCTATAATATTGAGCGCATCGTGGTAGTGTTTCTGAGCAGAGAGCAGCAGGGCCAGCAGGTGAAGGGAGTGGACGTCATCCCCTTGAAGCTGCAACGCCTGTCGAACATAGCCTAGTGCCTCGGGGATCTACACACACACATACACACATATACACAAACTAAAGGTTTCACTAGAGTCGGGACAAAAAGTATCACATAAAATGACTCATGATGTTCCCTGACTTCCACCGTCTGGCATTCCCGACACATATCTGCATAGTTTTGATGTGTTTTACCTGTCTGGATACAGCAAGCTGCAGGGCCAAATAAAAGGCTGCTAGATGGTCAGTAGGAGAAAGACTCTGAGCTCTACGGAGAAAAAGAGACAGAGAGAGAGAGAGAGGCTGTGTTTTCAGACATGCTGAATAAAAAGTTAATAAGATTCCATGAAATTTTAAATATCCCTTTGGAGAAATTAGGTCGCTGCAGCGCTGCCAACACAGCAAAGTAACTTGTGAGAAATCAAACAAGAGGATATTTAAACATTTAGACACCACGAGAAACAGCAACACATTGACTAACAAGTAGAAATAATGAATGTAAAACAAGAGACGATACATAGTAGCATTGTGGAAAAAAAAGAATAAATAATGCAGAGAATGTTTATCAATCTGACTCTACATCTTTTAACATTATTAACAGTTCAGTGTGTGCATCCTCACTCAAATCCTTCAGGAGAAATGACCACTTGTGGAGGATTTGTATCTGTATTTGAAGAAGATGCACCTAATAGTCTTTGTTCAATAAACACATTTATGACCCAATTGATGTCAAACTGCAAGCAGACAGGAGTAGAAATGATTTCACTAAATCAAGACAGCTCTTAAAAAAATGTCCTACAAAGTCTGTTTTCCTTTTTTCCAGATTCTTTTTTTAAGTTTAATTTGTTCCCCCTTTTACATTTTTCCAGTATTCAGAATAACAATCGCCACTCTTCTAGCTGCTGGTCTGTTTTCTTTTTTTTTTTTGTTCGTCTTATTGAGTCTGTAGAGTCTGTCTGGTTGAGAAACCCTCATCGTAAGTTTGAGGAAACTCAGTTTTATATAGGGTAACAAAACATTGCACCCTTTCTAAAATCAAAGACATTGCATCAAACTTGAACCATTCTAAACAAGACATCACATGCTGTAGAATAAAGAAGCAACATGCCTGTTAATGACATTCAAACTCTGCTCAGCTTACATTTAGAGTGGTATGGATCTTTTAAAATCACAGTCATGTTTTAAATATGTAAGATTGTGCATCCCTGCATCACAGAGGACTATATACTGGAGGTACTACATCGTCATGTGATTTCACCGAAAAGCTGTCCATGCTTTGACAAAAATGTCTCTGGAGGGAAGCTGTGGGCGTTAAACAGAAAATAGAGAGCTGCATGGCTCCGTCCCAACCTCTGGAAGGATCCCAAAGCTTTCCTCTGGTAGTCCTCCTGTGTGCTTCGCAACGATGCTGAAGAGACACAGACAGACAAAGTCAGGGACAGGAAGAGAACGACAGAGTGCAGACACATGCATTATTAAACCCCACACACACACACACACACACACACACACACACACACACACACACACACACACACACACACACACACACACACACACACACACACACACACACACACACACACACACACACACACACACACACACACACACACACACACACACACACACACACACACACACACACACACACACACACACACACACACACACTCTTAGTCTTACCATCAGTGGCTTTGAGGCTGTAAACCAGCCCAATAGCTAGGTAGCCTTTTGCTCTGAATTCAGCCGCTTTCTCTCCCATATCAATCACCATCTTTCCAAAGCACTCGCCTTCATCCAGCTGAGGGAGCAAAGAGACAATAATGAGAGAGACAGTGGAGATGAAAAGGAAGAGATTTGGGGGATAGATTATATGATTTAAAAGCTTTATATGTGATTTTTTGATCCAGCAGATATTGCCCTTGAGCACCAGCATGAAACCAAAACAACTCATGCTGCATTGTTGTGTTAGCATGCTAATGCTAGTGATCTTTATTATGCTGGTATCTTCACACTGCATGTAAATTTACCTGAAATGAGCGTGATCTAGAAACACAGTTAAGCAGTGAGTACAGTATGTTATTCTTCTTTTCTCTAGTCCCTCAATTAAACAACTTTTATACATGAGGGGAGGAGTCAGCCGGCCATCCCGGCGATGTAAACAAAGTGAAGATAGGACTCTGAAAACTCTGAAAACATCACAGACAGTGGGACTCGGGTGTTACACCCATTGTAGACAGTCATGACTCACAGAGTTATTTTCAGAGGATAGACTTGATTTATATTATATTTAAGTGTGAAAAATCACATATAAAGACTTTAAGAAAATAATTATGACTGGTGTGTACACAGAGTGGTAGCTCAAACAACTACAAGGAACTTTCATTTTGTGTCTATTTTTTGCGGTCACTGTGGACAAAAGTTGTTCACCTGGTGTTGTCAAAATGTTGATTTGCTTGTGAATTTGATTCAGTAGCAGAGTAAAACCATGACATTATTTTTATGTAAAAAGAGTTATTTTTTAAGAGATTAACACCTGAAATATGACGAAATGAGGGACTAAATATTGACACAAAAATATTTTTTCATCCTGACCAATGTGACAAAATTATCGAATCGCTTGTACCAAATTTAAATATTTTAATGAAAAGAATTACAACAGATTTACCCTGGCAATTTGAGCCACCGCGTCACTATTTCACAACACCTCATAGTGGCACTTATGGCATGAACGAGGGTGACATGAACAGAAGTTAATTGGCCACGGCAGAATAAATGAAGAAGAAGAAGACAGTGGGAAAATGTCAGGCAGCGGTGAAAAGAAGTTTAAGAAGAAGCTAGATATAAGAGGTTGAACTGACACCTCATTGCAGAATATAAATACATTATCCTGCACTTTACTTGGGCCCCTAAATATGACAGAAGTGAAGCTAAGTACAACTTATACTTCTTTTTGAGTTTACACCTAAACCCTTCTTTTGTAAATACATTGTCCCCTTTGGCTTTCTTGTTTTGAAGTCTACTCTCTGCTCTTATCTTCTGGCTGATCCTTATCCCTATATGTGCAGGCAAAGTATTCTCTTAAGAAAAAACACCCAAGGCTTTATTTTTATTTGTATAACCTACTACCCACAGTTCAACTTTCCTGTGGTGAATGTCAACAAAGGCTCTGAGTGTGTGCTTTAAATATCCCATATTGTACTTATTTTATTTAATGTTGTCAGTCTGTGAAACCTAGAGAGTGGCTCTGCAATATTTGCAGCTTATTTTATGCTGACGTCCGATAAAAAGCCCTCATTTCAACCTCTGCCTGAAACGGTTAACTTCCGCTGCTGTCTCTTTAAGCCCCTCCCTACATCCGCTCTGTCTTCTGATTGGCAAGCTCTCAGGAAGCCTTCCAGGGGCAGAACGCTGCAGGGCTTCCGGGGGAGGGCTGCTCTCAGCGCTCAGAGAACAAGCCTGACCTTTCACTGGCCTACATAGAGGCATCTTGAGAAAATCCTGTTTTCATATCGGGGTACTATTGGTTGATTTACAGAACAAGCCGTTTGGTTCACTCTGCAGACTCATCCTGGGATTACTCCAAAAAACATTTACCTCATGATCTGAAACTCTGCTCACGTTTAGTATGGGCATCCAGCATTGTAACACTATACTGGAGATTTAAAATGGGGATCAGCATGGTGATATGCAGATATGTGAACTTTAAATCACAGGATGAGGTCTCACACCGGTTAAAACTCTTTATAAGGGGTCATTAACAGACCCTACATGAAAGTCTCTAAAATCCTCCAGCAACATGCTCTGTTGCGTTTAAGTCTGCAGAATTGTCCTTACCCAGTGCAGAGGTCCGATACACAGTTTGACAGCGAGCAATGGGATTGTGGGGTCGTCAGGCTTCAGACGAATACACTCCTTAAGGACTTTAACGGCACGTGCAGATTTCCCAGCTGCCATCAGGGACAGAGCGAGCTGGTACCACAGATGGAACTCTTCAAAGGCAAACTTCATGGCTCTCTCCAAACACTGGAGAAGAGGACAAATTTCATTAGTGTTATCAGGTTTCTCTTCAGCTTCATCTAGCCAGCCTTTGTTAAGCCAATTAGACTGTAATAAAACATTCATCTGTGAAGGGAAATGAATGTGAAAAAGAATTAAAGTGTAATTTTATGCGGGCGTACTAGGGGATGTGGGCTGAAACACTTTCCACAATCACTACGACTGTGACTAAGCAGTCCACAGAGAGAGATTACTCACCTCTGATAGCATCTCATACTGCCCTCTCCTGCCCAGAGCTATAGTCAGCAGGTCGTACACCACAGAGGCAGACTGTAGGCTGATGATACGATCGTTGTTGTGTTCGGGAATTCTGCTCAGGACAGCGTCACGGTTTGCCTGAATCACACAGGCACAGAAACAGATGTAAAAATGGCACTTTGTCATGAACTCTGTGGCTCCTCTGCTTCACAGTGGGCAGTGAGTGTTTGTGTCTCACCATGGATTCACTGATGAGCAGCAGCAGCAACGCTTCCTCTGTGTTCTCTTGAGGGCAAAACAGACTTAGAGAGAGAGAGAGAAATGCACCAAGAGAGTCAGACAGATGGAGTTGGACAAGGATTAATGGAAGAGCAAAGGGGCAAATGGAGAAAAAAAAAACAGGCACCAGGAGAATTCCTGGAGAGCGGCTGGTAAACAAGAACATTGGCAAAAGTTTAGTGAAGGAGCCATGTTGGCTATTTTCCTCTTCACTTCCTGCTTTCTCGTCGACAAACACACATAATCACTTACTTCTCTCCTGAGTACACTCGCGAGCGTCGGCTCAGGCTGTAGTTTTTGCTGAGAGTGTGTCCTTGCCGTGTTGGATCGTCCAATGGTGACACTGATGGTGGGTCTTCCAGAGGAGACCAGTAACTCTGTTCACACATTCCTCTGAGCAAGATCTCTGCAAGCTGCCTGGCTATAGTCTGCAGGACAACACACACATTCACGCACATTTGGCAAAGACCCTCATATACCAACACATCAATTTGTTTATTTGGGTGCTACTTTGCAGAGTCTTATGTGGCTTATTTGTGATCATGTACAAAAAAATAATTATATATTCTAGGTTGTGGTGGGTTTTGTATCTACATGCAACTTTCAAACTGATTGCTGAGTATTCAAATGAAAGCAACCGAAAATCATACTGACCTTTGGGATGATAGACAGATTAGATAAATGATTCAGCAAAATATATATATATATTTTTTTTAGCTCAGCAAGACTGCAAACAGAGGGGCCAACCATAGCATGCTTCTAAGAATAGGATGTAGCCACTTAGTATGAAAAGTAAAGTCAATACAGAAATGCCTTCAACCTGCATTTTCTCCTCACCTCCTGCAGTGCGAGACCTAACAGATGAAGACTTTCCTGAATGTATATTCTTTATCTCTATTTTAAAGTCTTCTTCAATACAGCATGATGTAAACACAGGCACAAGTATCTTGTGATTATTTCAGAATAGATGATAGAGCGTAATGCTTTAGGAGTGATAGTTATAACATGTCGTTTACAGACTCTTTTTCCTATCCAAAAATTAGAATCTCAGAAACGCCAATAGCCTAGCGGTTATGTCGCGCGTACCATGTACAGAGGCTATGGTCCTCGATACAGCGGACAGGGGTTCAAATACGCTCTCAGCCATTCACTGTATATCGGCCCCCATTTGATCCTCCCAGCATTTCCTGTCTCTCTTCAGCTGTCCTATCTAATAAAGGCAAAAAAAAGCCCCCCGCAAAAAGAGGATCTCAAATAATATCAAAGTTACCATGCATGTATGACAAAAGCTTGCTGACCATTGTGAGCATTAGCTAATAATAACTCAGCATTTGTTAACCTCCTTACTTCCAGCCACTTTACAGCCTCAATGCCAAAACTCAAGATTTCAAAACATCAGGTCAAAAACCAATGTGGGATAAAACAGTGGTTATGTCCACTTATTATACATAATCTGTTGGGAAAACAGCTCATCTGGTCAGAGGACAAGCACTTAAGAGGTTTTGTTGCCTCTTTCTTCTTTCCAGTAACTGAGGTTGCCAGATTACCAGCAGTTACTCTGTGTAGGTCTCAGCAAACAAGCATTTAAGTCAATTTTTCCAAAATGACAAGCTATATTTCCTCAAGTCAAAGAAGACCTGTGAGGAAACTGATGCATTAACATCCCGTCATCTCAGCAAAAATGTAAAAAGAAAGCCACACTTCCAAATGCTTCCTCACCATGCGCAGGCTCTGGGTGGTTCTGGTCTCTACAGCCCGAAGAATCTCTCGAAACCGCCCTACGCCTCGAGTCAGGTTACTATGTCAACGTAGGGCGGAAACAGAGAGAAATACACAAATCAGAATCTGCAGAATATGTTTGAATACGAGATATCACAGAACAGTCATACTCCAGTCTATGTTCCACATATATATTTTTTTTAAAGATTTATTTTTGGGCATTTTGTGCCTTTAATGTAGAGATAGGACAGTGGATAGAGTCAGAAATCAGGGAGAGAGAGAGAGAGTGGAATGACATGCGGGAAAGGAGCCACAGGTCGGATTCGAACCCGGGCCGCCCGCTTGGAGGACTATAGCCTCCATACATGGGGCGCTCGCTATGTTCCACATATTTGAAAGTTTTATCAAAGTGAAAGTCAGTGTACTTCAGAAAATGTAGCAGCATCATCAGCAGATGTTGTTTTGGTTTTTTGCACCAGTCTGCAACATGACACAGCAGAAGCCTGTCTTAAGGTGATGCTGGAAAGCAGAGATAACTACACCCTCAACATTCACATTTACAATTTACATCGGATGTCTTTGATGTTTGTTTATGCTTTGTAGATATTTTATGCTGTGCTAGGCAGTTTACTAGGCTGGCAGCAAGTTTTTTAAGGTTGTTTTAGTCAGGAAGAGATTTTAGTGAACTTGTTGTGTGATGAACTCTTACTACCAGACACCAGAGTTAAGTTTGGAAAAAAAAGGGCTCATCTGTAGTATCTACAATTTTAAACTCCCTCTCCTCACTCTGGAGTGCAAAACATTTCAAATATAATTGCAATGATTTTTGTTGTTGTTTTCTTTCTCTCTTCTTTCTCCTTTGACTCTTCTTCTCTTTCTTTTCATTTAATTTTATTCTTTTATTTTATATAACTAATTTGTTTGTTTGTCGTTCCTAAAGATGTTAAATATCGTAGAAAAAGGGAAGAAAACCTTGATGGAGGGAAAAATGTATGAATTTATGTAACACAGATCCAAGCTACCTCAGTTTTACTTCAAGCTACTTTAAACAACTGTAATACATGTTTCTGTATTGTGAGTGTTATTTTTGGTATTTCCACATCACTGGGGGAAACAACCTTTTTGACACCACACCACTTATAAAAATGTAAAATACTGTCATCCTTATGTTGAATATAAAATATGTGTACTGTATGTTGAGACATGATGACAATAAAAAGTTCTAAAAAAAAATATAATGTACACGCACTGGGTTTAACAGCTACAAAAAGACAGAACATAGTGCAGATTTTATCTAGTCAACAGCAGCTCTGTGTGTACCACTTTCTGCTGCACCGCATATGTTATCTTTCACACTTTTTTTTGCTTTTATCAACCTGTCAGCAGCTTTGAAACACGATGACTACAAAGTGGGTGGACAGTGCCCACAAAGAGTTGTTCTTTGTTTCTGCCGGGCAACTGACATCCCTTTAAAAACTACCAGAAGTAACCGTTTTTTAGGTGTGTAAATGCCTTAAACACATCTTCTTTTTTCCTTTTATCTATAATGCTTAAAATAACTTTATTTATAAAGCAGCTTTGAAAACAAGGGTGCTTTAACACAAGCAGAAGAATACATCCAAACAAAGCCCCAAAACTACTCAACCAATATTATTTACCCAACACAAACGTACCCAAACAAAATCCCAACCAACAAAATGAACCCAAACAGAAGAACCCATGCAACGCAAGGAGCCCCGCTACATTAGTTGAGACCAAGAGTTCCAGATCGGAGAAGATGTAAGCAGTTCAGAGATAAGGCACCAAATAGAGAAAGAAGCACCAGAAACATAAAGCAGTCAAAAAAAAGGTAATAGTTAAAGTAAGTAAAACGAATCTGCGTGCCTTATCTTCTCAGGCAAGTCGTTCCAAAGCCGAGGGGCACTGATGGCAAAAGAACAATATCCTTTAGATTTAGGTTTCAACTTTGGAACGACCGGTAGGGCTCCACTGGAGCAAGGTGCCAAACCCATATGAGCTATACAAGTGATCAGTTAAATCTTAAAATCAATTATAAAACTAACAGGAAGCCAATAAAAGGAAACAAAAGCTGCAATAATCAAGTCTGGAGGAGATGAAGACGTGGTTAACTTTTTAAAGATCAGATTGAGAGAGCATTGTTTAAATTTAGGTAGATGGTGCATAAGTGATAGAAACAACATATTTGATATCACTCTGCAACCATAAATCTTACCCGTTTTTGAAGTGGATGACGTGGGCTCTCTGCAGGCCTGTCTCCAGGAAGTAGCCCAGTTCCAGGTCCTGGGTTGTTGGGCCGGGCTTTGGGCTGCGGTTCTGAATTCCTGCTGACAATGCCTGCAAAACCAGAAAAACAGGGCATAAGAAAGATATACATGTTCAAAAAATGAAGCCAAATGTGTAAAGAAACCCTTACTAATTATTTAGTTTTTCTGTTTGTTTTTTTCTGTTTCAGCAACAACATCAGAACAGTTCAGGACATAGACATGGAATCTCCCCAAAAATACATTCAGAACACAGAACCGGTCATAAACCCAAATTTCCCTCAGGGATTAATAAAGGATATCAAAATAAATAAAAAAATAAACCGGTCATAAAGAGTTCAGTCAACTCTAAAGATAGTGCCGTAATTGGCTGCCACCTTCGCTAAAAGGTCACTCTGAGAAATGTTTGCCCTTTTAGATCTGCCCAGGAAAAGTGTAAGTGCTTTTATTGTGAGCTGGAATCACCTTGGAGCATCAACAGCTCAGCCAAACTCACAGAGTGGGGGCCAACGAGAGCTGAAGCACAAAGAAATCACCTGTCATCTGTTGCATCACTCACTGCAGAGCTCCAAACTGCCTCTGGAAGCAAATCAGCTCTCCAACAAGTGCATCAGGAGCGCAGTGAAACAAGTTTCTTTGGCTCTACACACAGGCGCATAAAAAGCCTCACATCACCATCTGCAACACAAACAACCCTCTAGTGGTGTAAAGCTCGCTGCAACCGGACTCTGGAGCGGTGAAACATGTTCTTTGGAGAGATGAGTCACACTTCACTATCTGGCAGTCTGATGGATGAACGTGGGTTTGGTGAATGCCAGAAGATGAGACCTACTGCAGTGCATAGCGTCTACTGTGAAGTTCGATGGAGGGGTAATGGTCTGGAGCTGATTTTCAGGGTTTGAGCCTGGCCACTTAAGTTTGAGTGAAGGGTCTTCATAAATCGACAGGATATAAATACATTTGAACCAGTTTGAGGCAACACTTTGGGGAAGGCCTTGAGCTGTTTTGGCATGACTGTACTTCTGTGAACAAAGGCAGATCTATGGAGACATGGTTGAGCTGTGGAGGAACACTACAAGCCTTCACAGGGCTCAATACAGAATCCCATGAGGAATGAGAACATGGATTGAAAAGCCTTCGCAGTAGGTCAGCAGCAGCGGGCATAGCCGCAAAGTTTTTGGTTAACTTCAATAGTTAGCATCTGTGTATCAGTTATATGTTTTGATGTATTTGCTAATTTCAGTGTATGGTTTCAACACAGTAATACACAACAAAAAATATTTTCTCATAATACTGAAACACTGTTCATGAGCAAACAGGAGCAGGAAAAAGAAAACTTATAATATACTGTTTAACAGAATAAGATGGCTAACCTGTTGTTTTCTCTTTCTTTCACAAAACAAAAAATAGATCAACAATATAGAAACAATCAAATACAATCAGTTAAATTAACTCAATACATTCATCATTTCCCAGAACCTTTTCTTTATACATTCTTTTAAACTGAATGATAGTTGAGCAGCATTTTAAGTGATTATCAAGATAATTCCATAATTTAACTCCATTTACTGAAATACACATTTGTTTTAATTTAATTTGTTTTGGTAATACATGTACTTTTGGACAGACAATATGTCACTATAAGAGAGCTGAGCAGCAACTTGTCAGCCTTTAAAAACATTACACAACAGTGCAGCTACAAAGTTCTGCCTTCTGTACAACATTCTACATTCACTTTGCATGTGCAAGGACATAATATTGGTGTCTTAGTAGTTTCATATTGCGTTACAGCATTGTGGAAGTGCAGGAAACACTGTGTGTGTGTGTGTGGGCCCTCATTGGGAGCTTCACATACACACACTCAGGCATGTACACACAGACAGTGTTGCTCGGTGTTACTAGCTCTGCAGTTACACAGTCACCCCTCTCTTACACCACATCAGGGGCGTTCCACTACATTGCACGTGAGGTGTAACATTGCTGTAAATACCCCGCCCTCTACAGTGGCCTATTTAACTAATTTCCATTATTGAATTATAAATGATGATTAGGCAACAGATTTGTATGGAAGGGGCATTATATTAAGACTATTGTTGTTAAATCTTCTGTCACATGTGTTTTCGTTCAAGAGAAATTATAAGAACTTGATGTAACTGATAATTGACCTGATTCAGTTATCTTTTATATGCTCGCATCATGTTTTCAGTAAATTCATGTTTCTATAAAGCTGTCACAGTTGACCTTATTGAAGTTGAAATAATAAGCAGATTTGTTGGTTAGTCAATACAGATTAGCAGCAGCTGTTACAAAAATCAATAAAAGGTCATTTTTTAAATCAATAAAGCTAAAAGTTCTCTGCTCACATCTGCTCGGTTATCAGTGATTCTCTTCTTTTTGTAAAATGTAAAGAGTGTAAAGAGAGCTTTTTAATGTTGGTCTGACTGAACAAGACATCTGAAGACTTCGCTTTGGGCTTTAGGCGTTTGTGATCACTTTTCTTCTTTGTTATTATTCCCTAAACAACCTTTAAAATAGTCCTCAAACTCATGGTGTTGTGTCTCACATACCACATCCACACTCTGTTACAAGATATCTCTTTTTTTGTCATTATAGCTTTCAACATAGCGCCTCTGGAAACAGCCATGATACCCTCTATTGTCCAAGGATATTGTCTGCTTTTTATTTTAAGTCAACTTATTACAATGTTGTTTACATTCTCCAAACAGAGGAAGATGTTTGTTTGCACTGACTGTTATTTAATGTCTGCTTTTTGATAATTTTTCCACTATCTTGTTTTTAAACATTGCTGTACATATATAAACAACACAACTTCACAAGGTCATCAGTTTTTTTTTTTTGTATATATTCAGGTCTAATTACAGATTTTTTTGCACATATATTTTTATCCCTGCACGGGTTATGTACATTTCTTGTACATAACAAGTTTGATTCATCTAGGGGTATTCTTTTAAATCAGTTTTGTGGTTAATTTGTAACAAATGTCTCATGTCATGTAAGTCTTTGTAACCTTCTACTGGATGCTTTAAATTTCCCTCGGGATCAATAAAGTATCTCTCTATCTATCTTGGCAGAATCATGCATTAGTCAAACTCGCACACTGTCAGCACATTTATTTATCACACACCCACAGGGACAGCAGAGAACTTTGATGTGGAAGCCCTTACAATATATTTGTTGATCACTTGTGTGACACCATGCAAGAAACACTGCAGTAGATGATAATCAAATAGGTAAGATAGCAAAACAACGATAGCACTAACATTTACCTTTTCGGCCTCCTGCAGGTACAGCAGAGCAATGTCTCCGGATTTTTCATAGCAGGTGATGATGTCCTGCTCCTGATCTGTTGTGCTCCTATTGGACGATGGAGACCCAGTGTTCTTATTGGACAGAGATGGAGAGGCAGCAGGGACTTTCTCTAGACACAGTCCTGAGGGGTGAGAGGGGGACAGAAAATGAAAGAAGAGTAACACAATGATATGGTAGAAAAACATGTGTTTTCTGAGTAGATTTTTAATGTGATGGTAATCACCTCAGACTCAGATACATAGTTAAATACAATATAGTTATCAATTTCATATCTCATCAATCATATATTACAAGCTTTGGTTACTTGAACACAGCTGTCCAAGCAAGTTAGATGTTAGTTAGTTGTATGGATAGATTTAAATAATAAAATACATAAAAACATATGATCACAATGAAAAATGGCAACTTAATAATAATGGATGGGCAACCAGAGAGGACTTTAGTGTGACAATGTTTTTATCTACGTTACAGTTGATCCTACAGCTGTTTATTACCAACACTGTACTGCCACCTTGTGGAGCAATGCTGTAATGAATTTCATGGCTGGTGACAAAGATACAATATAAAAATGCAATTACTCCCTCTCAGTCAAGTTGCACTTTACTTCCATCAGTTTTTCTCACAGAATGACAACAGATGACGAGGGATATAATAGTATAATGTTATAGAAAATATCTGAAATTACAGAAAAAAAAATGAAAAAAAAAAAAAATTGCAAAAGCAATCGTACTTAAAACAGGTGCAGTTGGACCACCGTCCTCATTCATGCACGGCCTGGCCTGGCCAACAGGAACGAGAGGAATACAAAGGAGAAATCCTTCCTGCATCTTATCCCATATGCTCTTTTGTAAATCGTCGCAAGATAACACTTGTTATGAATTGGCGCTACACAAACAATGACTGATTGATTGATTGATGACAATAATGCATAGGAGGTAAGGAAATAACACAACACCACTCTCCCTTTCTGTGTTTCTCTGCAGAGCATGTGATCATCACTAGAGACTTCTCAAGACAGACCAGCAAACAAGTACCAACAAGGAGGAACTGGAGGGACATTTTTCACTAATCATACTCGAGGATTGCATAGATAAAAAATAAACTAGATGTAATAAAAATGTACTTGAGGTGTTGCTGAGATATCAGGCAAAAAATGGAAGGGGCGTGACCTTGACGTTTGACCTCCGAAATTGAATCAGTTCATCCCTGAGTCAAAGTGGATGTTTGTAAAAAGTTTGAAGATATGTCTTTTAGAGATATTGCATTCAAATAGGCAGACAGATGGCCAACCTAAAAACATAAAGCCTGTCGCTGGTGCAGAGACATCATAATGACTGGGTGCATATGTATGTGTGTGTGTGTGTGTGTGTGTATCTCTTCATACCTTTAGTAGCATATGCCTCTGCTATCATAGAAAGCCTGTACACAGGAGCGCCAATCAGCTGCATGTCATCCAGGTTGACCCTGCTATAGTGACCTGTCAATACATCAATCATGTAGTAGTTTAAAAATGAATTGGCACACCAATGCCATGAGATAAACAGAATACTACATTTGAGTAAATTAAACAAACTGGAGGACTGTGTGGCTCACCTAAAGCGTCTCTGTATTCTCCCTCCACATAGCAAAGTTTGGCCATCAACAGGCTGGCTTCCTGCAGGTAATCAGCCTGGAGAACAAACAACATGCATTACAAACAAGACAATCACAAAGAGAAACATCTCAGGGTGGGTTTACATTTTTGGAATTATACGCACAGATTTAGGAAAGATTGATGATGAACCACACTGTTTTGAAATAAATAAATACATTTGTGAAACAAATAAACAAAGTAACAAGTGAAAAATACAGTCAAGATCTAAGCAACATATGTCATTCATTGAGTGTGTCTCTGCATCTCAGCATGCATGGTTACCTTGAGGTTTCCTCTGTCCAGAGCAGCAGTAAGGTGCTTTCTGACCTCTACCAGTTTAGGTCGCTGGCCCCTTGGACTGGCTCCCTGTTTGATGGGGTTCTCCTTCAGGTACATCTGAAGCTTGCATTCTCCCAGCAACAACTCCCCTAGGTCATCTGTTGACAAATACACAAACAATAGATTTAGAAAAGTGTTTGGAGAAACTATGACGACATGCCTTCTGCTCCACAACTTTGTCTCTTAGCACTTCATCAGGTTTGAAGTAAACAGTAAAGTCAGTCTAGGTTCCAGGTTCCAGTTCAAGCCTAAAATCAGTACACAACTAATCTTATAGAGGAGTCAATAATTAATGAAAGGTTGTTTTTTTTAAAAGTATATTTAAAGTAGGATGGCTGTGCAAGCTTCGGAGATGGTAGATGTGGGTTTTTTTTCAAGATTTATTTTTGGGCTTTTGTGCCTTTATTGGAGAGATAGGACAGTCAATAGAGTTGGAAATCAGGGAGAGAGAGAGAGAGTGGGGAACGACATGCGGGAAAGAAGCCACAGGTTGAATTCAAACCTGGGCCGCCCACTTGGAGGACTACAGCCTCCATACATGGGACATGCACACTATCCTTGTGTTTTACACAGTCCAAGAGACTTTTTCCTTTTTAGAAACATAAGGTTCATTCAATTTATGAGAACATTTACCGTTTAAAATATCTGACAATAGTCGAAGTGTTGCAGTCAGCAATCCCCATTTCTTACACACTGGACGAATGCAAGAACTGCTTGTTACAGGAGAAACACAGCAGCACACATACCAGCTGGAATTATGAACAGCTTTAACTAGCTACTAAATTGTGTGTGTGTGTTTGTGTGGCGTGTGTGTGTATTTGCAATTTCAAAGGGTAGAAAGAGAAGTAATCCTGGTACTGATCCCTGTCAGTAACCAGAGCTCACAGCTCTCATAAATAAAGTTTCATAATAGCAGCAGTTTTACAGAGTTTAAAAATCAGCTGCTACATTCTCATCTTAAACAATTGAAAAAAATGAAGGTTTTGACTTTAAGCATATATAGTCGTATAATTATACAATTGCATTTAGGGGTGCTAGTTGAAAAGTGAACAATGATCTTGAATCACAAAAATAAGTCCTGGTCCTGGATATTCTTCATTAGTTATCCTGCTATCTGCTGGCAGCATCAAAAGCCAAGCAGCAATGGTCCCAGCGGACTGAATTGTCCTACTTCATGCAAAACTCAAAATGTCTATAATTTCTATGTAATGACCCAGGGGTTGTTCAATATTCACATCATTTGCTCTTTTATTTAATGTCATTTGAAATGTTGCCTTTATATTGTACTGGGTTTTTTTCTGTGTTTATCATATTCTACTCAGACAAAAGCAGAGTGCTCTGGGATTGCATTTAATAGGAAGTTCCAGGTGCCAAATAGAAGAAATCAATCACACAAAAACTTATTATTAACTAGTTAACCACCAGATGCCTATTCTGTTTGTCCTGGATGCAAATATAGCAGCATTAAGAGCTGCAACATGAGACCAGGTAAAGCATGGGTGGACTTTTATTTCAACGATTATATAGCATCAGAAGGACTTAAGCAATCTATATTTGTTTGATTTATAATGTTATACTTTTGTACACTGAGAGCACAGTTCACCGAAACCAAATTCCTCGAGTGTGTAAGCATACATGGCCAATAAAGCTGACACTGATTCTGATATTTAACGCCAAAGAAATTGCAATGGGTGAGTTTAGACTTATATAGCAACATGGGGTAATGTTGGTGTTTTTATGCAATTGTTTTAGATATGTTTGAATCAAAAGGAGGTTCATATCGGAGGGGAATATTACCAACTTCATATTAAACAAAGTCCAGAAAAGCTACAACCTGATGGCACACATCAGATTTAAAGAGATCTGATTTCATATCAGACATTACAAATGGGAAGTCACACACAATGTACAGCTGCCTACAGCCCTCTATTATTGATGAATTCTTAAGTTAACTAAATATTTCAGAAAAGATTCACAAGCATTTACTCTCTGCAGCCATTACTGCAAACAACAGTTAACCATATGCAAGGTAGCATGTAGCAAACATACATCTTAGCCGAAGAGCTAACATATCGAACCAATAATTAATACTTTGCTATATTACAGCGTCGTTAGCACATTGTACACACAGATATAATTAACTGAGTGTATAATTATTGACAGAACAGAGTTCCGCAGAGCTGTCACAGCAGCTACAGAGTTAGCTCTACAAATAAACAATAACAGTAAAGCACTGTGTTCACACTACAATGCTCAAAAACATTAAATTCCCCATTAAAAACGTCTCTCTTCCTTGACATCTGCTAGCTAACTGTCTGAAACCAGAGCACAGTGCAGGAAACCTCCTGTCACCGGTTGTCAATGTCAGGAAGTACCGAGGACTGTGAAGAAGGCCTGACCCGCTGAATGGACAACACAGGGGGACCCGGATGTTTCTTACCGTTTGAGATTAGTTTGGCGGAGAGCTGTCGAACTAACTCCGGTATCTTGTCCCATTGACTCTCTGAGCGGTTCCTCTCTATCTCGGTCTCCAGTCGTGAGCCAGATTTTCTCGCTGTCATTTTGGAAAGTGGGCTAGACTGGATCAAAACTCCACTAGAGGAGCTCTCCCGCTGCTACGAGAAATACGACTTCCGGACACGTATCAAAATAAGACAAGGACTGAAAGTCGTCACAATTGTATGACTGTAGCAATGAGGTATATTCGCAACCTAGTGGGTTTCATATGCAAAATAAGTTGTGGGGGTTCTTTACGAAAGAGTATGTACGCTGCATGTCTCTGTTGGAAATCAACAATCCCCAGCCTGCTTTATACTGAAAGTAGTTGTCCGGAAGTGACGTTGGCAGGACGTTTACAGTCCACAGCCAGTTCAGAGTGAAGTGGACGGGGCTCTTTGAGATGGCTGATCTGTTGTTGTATTTAACTAATGTCAACGTTTCCTTGGGACAAACTATGGATACTGATAAGGTTAGTCCGTGTGTTGCAACTTTAAGATTTTTCCACGTTTGTAAATGTAAAAAACTACTTTTTTAGATTTTTGACATTCTACTTCCTTAGCTTAGAAGCTAACAGTCAACAAACAAAAAGTAGCTTAAGCTAGTCAACACAACCATTTGTCTTAGATTTTAATACTTATCCTAACTGTGTATTTACTGTAAGTAAAAATATTATTAATGTTGGTACTTAAAACTTCAGTGAAAAACCTTGGAAGTAAAGTTTCCTATGCCTTTTGTTTGTTTGCTTTAATATTATATCAATCTGTCAATGTGTGAGACATTAAAAGACATAAAGAACAAATTATTATTAACTGTTTATTCACAGTCATAGCAGAAATGGCATCATGTATATTAATTGTCCATGTATATTATTTCCAGAGTCCAGGACTGGAGACAGACTTCGAGAGTGTGGAAATGGGGGACAGTGTGGACAAAAGGGTGAGAGTTAAAGTTCCCCGTAAGACCATCTACTTTGCCAGTGGAGAGACCATGGAGGAGTTCAGCACTGACGAAGAAGAGGAGGAGGAGGAACCTCTGAAGACGGATGTCATTACTGTCGACCCGGTATGCTGAGATAAAAACAGGCACTTTGCTGAATCTACTTCAAGTGTTTAGCAACATTTTGTCAGTTCTGTGTGGGTTATCAAAATGTTCTGAAAAGATCCCATCTACCAAGTAAAGGTGATGCTCCCCATCGATACATTGCCCTGCGATTTTATCCTCCATCAACCCACCATGTCCCTGCTAATCTGCTTAAGCTACTTATGAGTGGCTCAGAATAACTCTCTTGTTAAAAGATAAATATTGAAATGCTAATAACAAAAGAGAGAAAGAGAGATGTGCACAATCAGACTTACTATTTTTATTTTGAATATTGTTTTTAATGCTTTGGTGTGTTTTCCGGGGGCACAGAAGCGAGTAAAAGGATATAGGCCAGTGATACCTGAAAATCAAATGAACATGGCAGTTGCTACAGTATGAGGACTATAGCCTCAGCACATGGGTCACATCATAACCACTAGGCTATCTAACGTCCCAGTAGATGAGTCTTTTGACATTTATTGAAGCTAAAGTAATTATAGCGGCTTTAGTGAACAACGAAGCCGCTGAGAGGCTAAGGTTGGGCCTAATATCTTTGTCTGACGTGCTTTCAAAAGAATACTGTGATACATAAATAAGTTTGACTTTTTTTTGACGAATGAAAAAAGATAATCAACTTACAGCTAGAAACAATAGCGGTCAACAAAAAATACGGAAACCCAGCTCAACCCTTCTGTTCCACTGAGAACAAAAGGTGAACAGGTGAGTTAAATCAACACATCTCCGCCCATACCCATGTGACCCAATATAATCCTAATAAATGATATAATAATCAATAACCCAAAACACCAATATATAACAGACTACCTTAACCTTCAATAAATACTATAAAGATAATTCCATCCATCCATGGCTCCAACAGTAATTGTAGGTCAACTAATATATTGTGTGTTCAAAATAATTCAGTGGACGCAAACAGCTGTTTTGACTCTGAGGAAGACACAGTGTGTCCAAACGTTAGTCCTTTGCACCTAAATAAATTAGCCTTAAGTGACTTGTGTGCCATCAGTCTGAGAGAAGAACTCCACTGAACTATTTTGAACTTCTAATGTCCTTATCTGAGAGCACTGACCTCTATCTGTGGAGTGCCTAAAGTGCACACATTTCCTTTCAACCTTGCAAATATATTCTGTGGTTGAATTGAGAGTTTCTGCCTGTTAAAAGAAGGTTTTACCTCTCAACTGTTACTTTGCTAAATGTTGCCTTGTGCTTTGCTCATGTCTGATTGATGTTCTGTCTCTGTACATAATAAGATTAAGAGTTCAGTCTAGACCTGCTCTCTTTGTGAAATGTCTTGAGAAAACATTTGTAAAGATTGATGACTGTCATTGTTCTCTTCCTATATTTTTTAGTCCAAACTGACCTGGGGTCCATATTTCTGGTTCCAGACGTGGAGAATGGCCACCTCAACTATTTCAGGTAAAAAGAAAATCTACTGTGAAAGTTGGTATTCACGTTAGAAACAACTTATTACATGTTAAAAGGTTCTTTCATGTCATGCAAAGTTTGGATTGTTTTCCTATTTGTTTTATTGAACACATTTCATTGTATTTGCTTGTCTTCTCCCAAGTGATAATTCAGTTTGAGAAAATGTATTGTGTTTCCTGTAGTGTGTGACTACATGGGAGAGAAACTTGCCTCTCTGTTTGGCATCACTACTCCTAAATATCAGTATGCCATCGATGAGTACTATCGTATGAAGAAAGAGGTAGGCCACAGGAACGTGACAATTTCATAAATAAACTTAAATAAACTCACAGCACACAGCTAAGTCATAGCTCTAAGACTCACTCAATAAACTACTAAATGTTTCACACACTGATGCTCTCCTGCAGGAGGATGAGGAAGAGGAGGAGAACCGTCTGTCTGAGCTGGCGGAGCAGCAGTTTGCAGAGCAGCAGAGAGATGAGCTGGATGATCCTCACCCTGCTACTCTGGAGCAGCCAGAAGCGTCTGGAGCTTCTTTTGTAAATATTAGCTTCGACCTGGAACCTGAGTCTCCTGTCAACATTGCAGACACAAACAGAGTCCCGTCTCCCCTCCCCTCCTGAAAACTGAAAACTGACACACAAAGCATTAACAGACACATTTCTATCAGTTTGAAAAAATATATAATTTACTTAGCTGCATAGTGAAATAATATGGTTATTTTTCTAAGTTTTTTATTTTGTGTAAATAGATCAAAGTAAAACACAGGGACAAATTGAAAGGGCTTGAAGTGCCACTTGCCTTACCTGTGAATATTAATGTGTGTGTAGTGTGAAGTCATATGCAAGACTGAGACGCATCTGTTAACTAAATACTGAATGAACTGACATCAGTTAAGAAAGTGAAGAATTGTTATATTCCACCCTTCAATGAGAAACAGACATCAGTGAGTGCTCTCTGTCTCTCTTGTTTCTGTTATAATTGTCTGCACCTGACATGTGCATTATAAAGAGCTGGATCATTTTTTTAACTTTCAGCTTCAATATTAAGCATTAAGGGATTAATGACACTAGTGGGCAGAACTGGGGCATTGCACCAGGGAATATGTTGTATCCTTCAATTCTACCGGTCCTGGCTGCATGGTCATCTGCATACATTAATCTGTAAAAGTTGAATACCTGATGTAGATAAACAGATTGCAATGAAAACCCTCATACACATATTTAGAGTACATGTACTTTTTTTTTGTCTTTGACGAGGTTACTTAAATTATTTATTAACCAAAATGAATATTTACTAGAAAATGTATCTGAGTCTTTGAATTTTATCAAATTGAATCTTTGTGTACAGGTTAAACATAATATACTGATGACAACCCTGCTGCTTCAGCATATTATTAGGGAAGAGGAGTACTTTCCCCTGGCTACTATACCTTCCTGCTTGTTGAGTAGGACAGTAGAAGTACCCTGCATTCATTAGGGTATGCATGAATTAGATATCTTAGAATAAACCAAACAATAACTCTGAGTTGTTGAACTGACACCATGTTAGTTTTCTAAGTCGAGGATCTGTTTTTTTTTACTTCATAAATGCAGGGCTACACATTAGTGTCATAAGATACGTTTTTTTGTTTGTTGTGAAATAAATGAATATGGCCGCAATACTCTCATATATTTCTTTCCTCCAAAGCCTTAGATCTACGTTCCCTGATTGGTTGTTAAATAGTCATTTAAGAAACACAAACTAACTGGTAATTATTCCATCCTAGTCATGGGAGATGGTAGAATTAAGACCTTCAGTATTTTTCACTGAGTGGTACGTTGGTAGAACCTCCTGTGTCTTTCTAAAGATTCACTTTGCTACTTTGTGTCTGAAGGTGTTCATGAAGCACTTAGGTTGATATTGTGCAGCTAACTGAGATTTGGGAGCTGTGGGAAAAAGCTGCAGTTTGTTGTTGAAATTGACATCAATCCTTTACTTTGTAATAAAATGTAAAAATGTGTTTTACTTAATTGTGTAACAAACATAACTGGCTTGCTTCAAAGCATATTGAAATATTATCAATGTTATTCTTATTCTTTTGAAAACTGCTAGCACTCAGAGGTTTTGCTGACAGATGATCTACATTGATTTAAAAAGCTGTCCACTCACAGTTCTTCAACCTTCATGTGTGTGCGAGGGTTCATTCTTCAAGTGTCCTTTTAGTCGTGTTTCATGACTGAGCTGTCTTAAGTGTCATATTGATCACCTTTACCCTCTGATGTTGGTTAAAGTGTGATGACTGTTAAATCCAGACCTATAAGACGATGAAATGTGGTGTGTAAATGTCTTTAAAAAGATCTGTCGTTGAAGGATATTATTCATGTTTTATGAGTAAGAAGGGCAAATATACTGTATGCAAAACTTGGATTATTTAAAAAACTTTATGAATCTGTACAAACATATTTATATTCTTTAATAAACCTTTAAACTTCTAAAATGTTGCCTTCTTTGTTTGCATTATTGTCTTAACCAATTACTTTATTCATTCTGGCTCCACTCCACAAAAAGGTTCTACACTCCTGTGTGCTAGAGGTGAAAACAAGATACATCAAAACCATGATGTTGTTTTAAACACAGAAATTAAAGCATAGCACACAATTCTGTCATGGGCACGAGGCCACAGTGCAAATGTTCTTGTTTTTTTTTACAGAAGCTGCAGATATAGAGTAAAAACATTAATGAGGAGTGTTGTTTTTGTTGATCTGCAATATGTGAGTCCAGATTGCTCTCTCTTTTAGCCATGTTTTGGATCTCTACTTTTATCATAGAAAAATAACCTGCTTAGTATGCAACCATACTTAAAGGCAAGTTGTGTTTTGTTTACAGGTAGAGTTTAATACAGAATACAGTTTCCTTTTACGGACAAAAAAGATTCTGTTTTTGCAGGAGAGAACCAAAACAGTTCTGGTAGAAGTTTGAAAACCAAAACAACAGGCTGAAAGACGCTGAAAAGTTCCTGACATCTCATTTTCTGTTAATTAAGGAGAATTTATTATGGCCCTTTAAGGGAAGTTTCACATTTAATCAGAAGTTATATGTTTTATTGCGGTGGTTGCAATGAGATGGTACCTCTAGCGTAAAAATTAAACGGAAAATGTAAGAAAAGGAAACCTTTAATTAAATAGCTTAATGACAAGAATGTTTCCTTTCTTGGCAGGAAAAAAAAAACAGGACAAAACAATAAAAAGATTTACAATAAGCACTGTGTCTGACTTCAAACCAGCTCATTTCCTCATTAGATTCACTTCCTTCAGTTATTTAAATAGTAGACATCTAGGACAATATTAACCAGTCATTTTGGCAACAGGACTCTGGGATTTCAGGGTGGGATTGAAACTGTGACCTTCTTGTGTTGAGTGTGTTCAAATCTGTGTTCAAATCTTCAGGTGTCATCGAGGTCTGCTGTGCTGCCGCTGTCGTTGTCGTTAGCGACCAGCACTTCTCTGTTCTCATAGGTCCAGAAGCCGTTGAGGTCGATCAAGATGCTGGTAACGGTATCGCCCTGGCAACTGTTTACCAAGTCCTGCAGAGTGATCTTATATGGGTCTTTAGGTTTCACCATGTCGTAGATCTCATCCTGAGGAGAGACAGGGATCACAATGTTCTTCTTTTTTTACCTCTAACCATAGATTTGGTTAAAAATCTGCAGTTTGGTTCAATCGACCAAAATATTTTTAAATGTTTGTTAGTCAAACATACCTTAACATCCTCGAAGGAGACAGGCTCCTGACCGTGGATTTTCATCTGCTCCTGAATGGCCTGAAGTATAAGGCATGCAAAAAATAAATAAATACACAACACAACACAACAATGCAACAAGTGTTCATGAGTCTATGTGGTCATGTGCTCTCATAAAAGATATATACAAGCCAGGTTCTTAGGCTTATAGTCTGGAGCTAGGAGAGCGTTTAATGATTAAGGATTTTAAAGATGTGTTCAGACCAAAAGGAGAGAGTATTTTCACTTTGTGTGCCTGGTCTAATACACCTGTGAATATCTGACCATTAACATATACTGGAAAACCAATCTCTGTCGTGTCTGGGTTCATAACTTTGTCTCTAGGAACACACAGCTTTGCTCATTTCCCCGCCTTCCCATTTAATGTCTGCATCTTATTGTGATTTGTGTCATCCTGAGCCAATTCATGATCATTTGTGCTTTTACACTAACTCAAGTGGCTATAAATCCATTTAGCATTTTGTTCCAACCACACATTGAAAATCTTTGTCCAGACGAGATTATCAGCATAATGTTAGACATGAGGTATTCTCTACATTCATGTGTTGATTTTCAGAGAGGAGGATGCTGTATAATATACATGAGGTCATTCCTGCCTGTGGCCATCAGACTGTATAACTCCTCCCTTTAAGAGTCACACACTTGGACACTGGACTATTAACCTGGACATATTTATTTAACCCTGAAACTGTGCAATCTGTCTGCAAATCGGTCAATAAACTGTGCAATATCTTTTTATTGCTTATTTTATTATCCCTATTCTATTTTATTTTTGCATCCTTAAATTATTTCTATATTTCCTACTGCTGCATTGTGTTAAGAGCGACGGTGACAACATGTTTCTGATTCTGATTTTAAAACCATTGGTGAGCTTGTGAGAGAGATTTGGAGGTGATATACCCTGAAGAAATAGTTGAGTGAGAAGACGTTCAGGTATCCTTGATTCTCCATGTCCAGAAGTTTAAAAATGTACTGTAACGCTGCCGGCTCCTTCCTGTTTTCCAACGCCAGCACAAAGTCTAGATAGGTCTTGTAGTCCTGAGGGGGAGGAAGAGGGACAACATTATGCACACAGAAATCTTTACAGCTATCCCCTTCAATTTTGTGAAGAATGGCTTATTATTCACAATGTGTGGCTAAACTGCTCTAAGGGACAATGAGCAGCTGAAGATGAACCTCATGACTTTAAGTTGAACATTAACACACATACAGGTAGGAAATAAAAAGAAAACCCTGGGTAGGAAACTTTAAAAGAAAATGATTATTTAAGCTCTTCTTTAATTTGTCAGCCCTCTGTATGTATCCCCACAACTCTCCAACTGGTGCTGTCATTGATCATACCATTTCTCCATCATAGGTGAGGCACTCCTGAAACACTCTGTCCAGGAAGACGGAGGTGAGTGTGGCCGTGCCGTAGCGTGAGAGCTCTTCTTTGCTCAGCATGCCGTTGTGATCCTTATCCAGGTTCAGATACTGACCTGTTGACACCAAAACAAATTCAAAAGAGCCAGGTAATAAAACACACATCCACATGCAGGCTAACCACAATCTATTCTGCATATACAGATCAAATGAACTAACTGACTAACTAACTAACACACACACACACACACACACACTTCATCCTTCCCCTCACCGTAGACTCTGAGAGCCGAGGGGGCTGAGAACCAGTTGGACTCCTGACTCTCTTTGGACAGCTCTTCATCTCTTAGCTAGAAGCACAGAGGGAGAGGTTAAGACAGCGTGAGAGAGTTATACTCAACTAGTAATGTTGTCTTGTTGAACCAGTTCATGGAGGTAGAAAAACAGCATTAATCCATATTACACACTAAAAGACTAATACATCTGCAGCCTGTTCCTGTGTTTGGTCCTTTAATTGTCTACCACAGTAGCTAACATAGAATAAACCTGCAATATGTAAACACAAACATCTACACTCATCTTGATTCAACAGTATACAAATTGCCAAAAGGAAAAAAGGTGGTTAAAAAATACCTCCAATAAATCATCCAGGAAACTGCAGGCCAATATATCCTGGATTTTGATCTTTCCTTAAAAAAAACAGAACAACAACCTCAGTTATCAGAGTTAATATAATGTGAAAAATGTCTACAGTTGTTGCAAATGTTCTCTGTGTCTTTCAGGAGCAGCTAGTCATGGCTGCCAAGTCAGTTTTTGACGCCTTTGAGACCGAGATGGAGTATCTGAATAAACAGCAAGCTAATCAAGCTTGAATCTGTAGTCTAACATAATCTGTATTTAATCATTTGTAAGATACAAAACAATGCTACAAATAGTAAATATCTGTTAATATCTCTGTTAAATACTGCACAAGATGTTAAAGACAGAGAGACATTTTAGTGTTTTATTTGACTGACATTCCGCTGAATTTATTTGAGTTGAGTCAGAGGACGTGCAGCAAAGCAGGGTTTGGGCTGCAGCTGCTCACTAGTAATGCATTTTGAAAACATGCAGGGACACTTCTTAATGTGCGCTCGGCTGTATTTGTCAGTAAGGAAATACTGACAAATGATTTCTTTAACTTAAAATATAAAAGAAAATATATAAAGTTATTTCTAATGAAGCACTTTTGCCCTCATTAACATTTGTTTTTTTCTTTATCTATATTGACACACTTTATTACACTGTGATATGTGTTATTGGACATTTCATGCAGACATACAGATGCATGATTAATGTTTTAGTCTCACCTGTCCTGAGAGGGTCGAGGAAGAAAAAGAACTTGCGAACAGCCGTGCAGACGTAGAACGAGTAGAAGGACTTCTCAAGTCCGTCCAGTTGTGGCAAAGTGGGGATTAGCTCCAGGATGTAGTTCTCCAAATCCTGCACAGAATAACAAGTGTCAGCAATACGAACCATTATTCTGCTAGCAGCTGCTCATTCCTTTAGAGCGTGTGGTGACTGATGCTCACCGACTCTCTGAGGTGCCCCTGTCCCGCGACGTCATACAGACTCAGACCGATCCTGGTCTGATGGAGCCATACTAGATGTACAAGATTTTCATCGGGGGGGGGATACATGCAGGTGAGTAAAAACTAGAAAAAACTATTATTCAACAAAGAGATATTGTAGAGGCTATTTGTCAGAAAAAATCTAAATAAACGTATATCAAACATAATCAAATGACCACTGATGCATCATGGGTATGTGGTGTACGCAGGAAAAAAAAGTCCAATGTCCATGCAAAAGATCTGTGTTTCTGGTGGTTTATATTAGTCAAAAGTAAGCAAGCAAACAAAAGAACAAAGAAAATTGTGGCTCCTGCTGCCTCTCTTGCGCTGGTAAAAAACCATAGGCCCACCCAGGTGCATGCTGGTCCTCTTACCTAAATAACCTCTGGTGCCCACAGTGTTACCCAAATACCTAACAAAAAGACTAATACAAAACTAAATTTACTAAACAAATAACTAGCAAAAGAAAATATTACCCAAAATCTATTCTAAATAAAGACAACGTGTAGAATAATTAAACAAACAACACCACCCAAATATTAGTAAACTAAATACCAAACTCATTCTAACATCAAATAAATAGCTCCTACAGATATCTTAATGTAAGCTGAAATCATAAAATGTTATCAGTTGACTGATAAGATAAGATAATCCTTTATTTATACCACAACGGGGAAATTTACAAGTAGCCTGATGAGTAGCCTTTATGACTTTAATCTGTTTGTTATTTAACTTCTTTATATTAGTATATGTTTTATTTACTGTATCAGCGTGTGCTCACTACTTAACACATTACAAAAGGATGCGATAGAAGAGAAGGCAACATAAAGATTCTACCTTTCCTCATGACGTAGTTGAAGAACTGCATGATGGAGATCCTGCCATAGGGGTCGCTGTGGAGCAGCTTGGCATACACTCTGGCTGTGAAGAACTTACTGAAGGAAATAAATCAGATTAGGGAAAAACACTGTGACTCTTCATTTAAGATAATGTGAAAACAGATCCACGCCCTATGCATCTACTTTTAGAACTGTTCTTCCCTTTGAAAAATAATTACAAGATGGATTACATGTGGATTTCTCTCCTCTGACAAAGTAATATTTGTTAACATTCAAACCCTTAAAACTTAACAGTGGACCCTAATTAACATATGCAGGTAAATCCCTTTCTTATTCTGTGTCTACTTCCTGGTTCAGAAGTTCATGGAGAGTGCATTAATGTTCAGATGCAATCAGATTTTTTTTGTTTATTCCTGCTCCGACAATAAACAGTTTTCCTGTCACACTGACGCCAAGAGGATATCACATGTTACAAGGGGACTTTTTTAAGATCAACCTTTGATCAAGCATGAATCCTTGGCACAAAAAAAGAACACACGGGGGGTTTTTACCAAAGCTATGCTGTTGCCAGTAAACCTTTACTTCCTGTTACTTACCTGCACTTTGTCCCAGCCTTCTCTCCCACTTGCAGAAAGGCTTCATAGCTGATCATGGCCTCTTCTCCGCTCACTGGAGGAACCTGGTGCTTGTCGAGCAGAAACCAAAGATTCTACAGAAAAACAAAAAAGGCAACAAAGTAGATGACACAAATAATGAAATAACAATCCAACGGTGGGCTTACTTGTGCAGAAATGTGACTTCTTTTATCTATGATATTCACCTGCAGCTCCTCATTATCCAGCAGCTCTCTGCTCTTTCTCTGGAGGAAGACAGCTCTGGATTCCTCTCTCAGCTTCTGCAGCAAAGTTTCATCCTCTGCTGGTAGCTGCAAAACAACAACACCCCCCACCACCGTCATCATCATCATCATCATCATCATCTGAATAATCACATGGTCATCTTTAATGAGCAGGCCTTTCTGGTAGCACTGTGTACTCTGCTGGCAGGCAATGAAGATCATGAAAGTAAAACAGAACAAATTGGTTAGCATGCTACATAAATGGTGTCATCACATACTGTAGTTTGTCCAACAGAGTGCGCCCTGACTCCAGACTATACAATCTTTTCAGCACAATCTGAAGCACATGTCATGGAATGAATATTACAGCTTGGCAAAAAAATGGCCAACACTAGATTGTCTGTTAACCTTAAAAATCATTGAACAAGTTGTTATTAAGAAAGCGGTGATCTAGGTTTCTTTGCCTCATCAAATTGGTTCAAAATGCCCAAAATGTAATTTTTTTGATTCCAGCTCAAAATGTCACCGCATTAGTTATGGTCGCCAAAACGTTCAATACTTTAACACTTTTTAATACCACATGTTTTATAACGATACAATCCCTGTTGTTCTAATGATCGAAAGTATCGAAGAGAATCGAAACTTCATATCTCAAGTTGTACTTTTTGCCAAATGCTGCCATGAGTAAGAGAGAGAGCACTGTCTGAATGCACAAGGTTTCAGATCTGATACGTTACCAATGTATTTGTGCATATTAAACGTTGTGCAGGAGTTTGCTTGCACTTTTGATAAACACCCAGTATCAACCCCAGTAGCAGTTTATTCCATTCTTTCAAATCAATACTAACCTCAAAAATCCTCCTGGTCTGGCTCTTGCAATAATCATCACACTGTCAAACTACTAAACTTTGTAACAGGCCAGTGTTACTATTATCACAACTGGTGTTCAAAGATAAGTGGTTAAAGTAAGCCTGTGTGTTGTGTTTACCTCAAAAAAATGTTTTGTATGTTGTATATTTATATGTACTTCTTATTTTTATTAATATTTTTTTTAATCCTTTAACCACTTGTTTCTATTTCTTTTACTGCTCTTACCTTCTTATTATTGTTCTCTTTTGATTTGCTTTGAGCTCTTTTCGTTTCTTACATCTTTTTAAATCTTTGCTCCTCTTGGTCTCAGCTCGTGTTGTTGGGTTCTTGTGTTGCCTGGGTTCTTATGATGGTTCTTATGATGGTTCTTATAATGGTTCTTGTGATGGTTCTTGTGATGGTTCTTATGATGTTCTTATGATGTTCTTATAATGGTTCTTGTGATGGTTCTTGTGATGGTTCTTATGATGTTCTTATGATGGTTCTTGTGATGGTTCTTATGATGTTCTTATGATGGTTCTTGTGATGGTTCTTGTGATGGTTCTTATGATGTTCTTATGATGTTCTTATAATGGTTCTTGTGATGGTTCTTGTGATGGTTCTTGTGATGTTCTTATGATGTTCTTATGATGGTTCTTGTGATGGTTCTTATAATTGTTCTTGTGATAGTTCTTGTGATGGTTCTTGTGATGGTTCTTGTGATGGTTCTTATAATGGTTCTTATGATGGTTCTTGTGATGGTTCTTGTGATGGTTCTTGTGATGGTTCTTATGATGGTTCTTATGATGGTTCTTATGATGGTTCTTGTGATGGTTCTTGTGATTCCTGGGTTCTTATGATGGTTCTTATGATGTTGTTATGATGGTTCTTGTGATGGTTCTTGTGATGGTCTGGTTATATATGTCTGTTGGGTATCGTGCACTTTGGGTTCTTTTCTGTTGAATTGTATTTAATTATTTTTAGTATTTTGCATTTGTTTGTTCTTGCTGTTGTTTATGTTCTTCTGTGTTTGGTTTAGTTTGTTTTTGTTTTTTCTGTTTGTCAAAGCACTTTGTAAACCTGTGTTTTTAAAAGGTGCTATAGAAATAAAGTTATTATTATTATTATTATTATTATTATTATTATTATTAATAAATTATAAAAAAAAAAAGAACTGGTCACTAACATATTGCACTTTTAAAGTGACTTTTAAAGTTTTTAAAGTCAAATATATTCTGTGGAGAAGATGATTGTGTAAGTACACCACAGATGCCTATGAGAAAAGAAACGTGTGAATATGCTGCTGTCAGGTAAACACATTGATACAGGCTGATTGACATCTGAGCTGGTTTGAAACCCAGTGTGGACATAACACAGTTTTATAGTTTACACATAAGATTTGACCGAGTCTCACCAAGCCCAACAGTATAAACACAGAGGTGGGCAACTGGCGGCCCGGGGAACACATGCGGCCCCCTTCAACCCTCAATGTGGCCCTCAGGTCAATTTTTACATATCAGTTAGTTGGAAACATGAAGAAAACATGACAAAATCTGCCATGAAATCATGAAAACCAGAAATATGTCCATAATAATATTTGATCACTGGTATATGTTGAGTTAAATTTGAGACATAATTGACTTTAATCGTTTTTGTATACTTTAATTTGTCTCTCTGGCAGTGAGAATTAAATGAATGTGGCCCTTGCTGTGACCAAAGTTGCCCATCCCTGGTATAACACAATGAAAAATGACATCATTGGCTCTAAATAGTATTGAAGTAAGGTATCCAGGTAAATACCCTGTAGTAGAATCGTGGGATGTTTCTGTAGGACTGGTCTCTGTCGCCTCCTCCTCTCCACTCCGTGTAATATTTAGTGAACAGCTCTGTTTCTTCTGCTTTCTTTTCCTCGTCGCTTCTCTCGTCTGTACATCAACAGGGATTAAAAACATCTTCATATTAGTGATGTTTAAACTAATTATAATGTTGAGTAAGCTCAACAGTGGGTAGCTATCAACACAACGTAACTACAGTAGAGCTAGCCAGCAGGAAGTTGGTGTCATGTTTACCTCTTTTGGAGTTTGCTAACCTCCTTTTTAAAACGTCTGACCAATGAGGCTGTTGTTCTTTAGACATTACTGCTCAAATATTCATTTAAAGTTTACTTTGTCTTTCCGTTTCAACAATTTACGATACCGAGAGTAGAAACTAGTCAATAACAACGATTAGATTAAAGTGGGACATCAGTAAATTGCTGAATGGATGTGATTTCCGGTTTGGAATTTTGTCTTTCAAAACAAGAGCACTCTATCTATGAACAACCCAACAACCCCATAAACAGCAGTAATGTCCATGGCACAAAACAGAAACTACAGATAATCTGTATTAAATAATATTTTCCAAAACTCTTGATTTTCTTAATTCTTTAATTTAAACCAATGATGTTTGCGCCTTTTTTCCAAAATCAGTTTTTCCGGTCGTTTTGTGGTAATCTTCGTAAACCTGACGCTGCTCAAAAACGTAGTCGAGTGTTGATGACGTCAAGTATGCGACACGAGTTCATGCCTGCAGTTGTGTTTAAGTTTTGACAAGGGAGTTATTTGCAGTGATATAAGCTATTTTTTTGTTATTTATTTTTACAGTCAAGGCTATTTATGAGCCGCGTACACGGGATTGGATTATCTATGAAGCTAACGAGAGCGAAATCGTTTTTTAAAAGGCATTTTGAAACAGCAAGGTTAGCTAGCTAGGCTCATTTCAGGTCATTGAGTCACATAAATGACAGCAAGTGCTATTTTGTTTTGTTTTGTTTATAAAGACAGTTTGTATTCTGTATGCAAGATATGATCAAATCTGTGAGTAGATCTTAAGTTTAGTAATCATTCATTTACTTTAATTTTTAACAAGAAATAATCAGTCTGAACATGGGCTCTCCCTTCATGTTGAAAATGAGAATATCATTGAAACCCTTCACACCCTTTCCTCACCAGGGAAGTTCAGCTGTAACACTACTGTCTGTGTGTAAGCCCTCACAGCTGCCTCTTTCAGTACGCTTTCTGTGCTCAAGAGATCCAAACCCAAAAGGACAACAGGCACACTCAAAGAACAATGGACAGGGGGTTGTGAAGAAAAGTACCACCACGAGTAGGACAGAGGGATCATGGAATGATGGTGGGACGGGAAGAGGGAAAACATCGACTGTTCGGCAGAGTCCTATCTTCCCTAAATCTGTGTTTGCTGCTGGGATGGCGAAGAGGACAGCAGAGATGTTGATGAAGAAATCAGCTGTGGTCTCTCAGGATCAGAATGTGCATGTAGCGGAGCCTGAAGGGATGACAACTAGAAGAGCAGGTAGGGCATGCTCACATTACATTGGGAGGCATAGTTTTGAACTTAAGAGAGCTTATTATCTGCAGCAACAAAACAGCTCAAATAAGAGTGGGACTAAGACTGAAAATGTTGATAAATAATGTGTTTCTAGTTGTGCAGTACAGCATACGTTCTAAATTCATCACTGTTTTCTTGTTTTGCAGCAAAGATGCAGCCTCCTGACCGGCCGCTCTCTGCTGCTGAGTGGAAGGCGATGAAGGAGTCTTTGGGAAATTCAGAACGCTTTGGCACTGGGATGATGAGCGCGCTTTATAGCTCTGGGGCAGATCTTGATATTGCCAAGTGAGAGAAGGATGTGTGTGTATGTCTGTCAGGTCCTGTTGTCCTCACGGGGTTGTTTTGTCCAAATTGTTTAAATCCCAAAGCTCTATCATTTTTTAAATTCTTTGTAAAGCCGTAGTTTAAAGGAAGTACAAGCTAATGAACTGGCTTTGAAGGTCAATTAATGAATCATGTTTATGCTATAAATATGTTCTAAACCTCTCTTATCACAGATCCCTGCTGACTTTTGTAGCCATGGAAACGGGGACGCTGTCCTATGAGCTGCTGCTGAGGTACCTGACGCTCTGTGTGAGTGGAGGCCATGACAACGAGGTGTTTGATGTCTACAACATTATGCTAGGAAGTTTCCCTTCTCTGGAGACGGGAGCCTCCAGCCTCTTCATCAAGTCCTTTGGCAGGACAGCGCGGTGGAGGGAGGCTGTCAACATCCTGCACAGGCTTAAGAAGGTGAAGGATGCTCTGGATTGTATTTAAAATAATCAAACCCAACTCATTGAGATATAAAAAAACATGACATACATTATCTATCATCCCCTTTATGTTCTACCTTACAGATCTTTACCCCATCACAACGCAACTATAGTGATGTCATCTCAGCAGCCATGTTACACGGGGACACAACCACTGCCTGGGCTCTTTATGATGAGTTAATAGAAAAGGGTCTGAGCCCAATCCAGGAGACCTGGGATGCTTTGTTTAAGGGCCATAGCTCAACTTATGAAGAAGAGGGGAAGGAGGCACAGACTATGTCTCAGTCTGAGATCCAGGAAAGGTTGCTGGGGATTCTGCTCTTCATGAGGATCAACCAGATCTACCCACAACACAGCCTGGCCAGCAGCATCAAGACCTGGTTTGAGAGGTAGAAGAACTGTAGCTAAATACACTGAAAACTGAGGCGAGATTTACAGTATACAACCAAACCTGTGTACACTACGTAGAGTTTCTCTATTTCATAGATTAAGGAGCATCAGCTCTCTAAAGTGTGGCAAAGTCTTTTAGTATCAAGTTCTCAGACTTTTATAGAAACAGCTGATTTAAAGTTGACCATGGTAAATTAATCAGTCTTATAATATATCAAGTTAAAATGGTGCTTTTGGGGCGCTGGTGGGACAGTGCTCATGATGGATAGGCCGGGTCTTTGTAACATAACAATGAGTAAGGTCTTTTACCTGCTTTTTGTAAAGTGTCTTGAGATAACACTTGTTATGAGTTGACGCTATACAAATAAATTGAATTGAAATTGAATTGGTTAGTGAGCGCGCCTCATGTACGGAGGCTATAGTACTTAGTACTTAAGCGGGCGGCCTGGGTTCAAATCCCACCTGTGGCTCCTTTCCTGCATGTCATTCCCCCTCTCTCTCTCTCACTGATTTCCAGCTCTATCCACTGTCCTATCTCTCCATTAAAAAAGGCAAAAAAATAAATCTTAAGAAAAATGAAAAAAGGTGCTTTTGAAGTCGTACTGTGTCAAATTTACTAACAATGAGTGAAAATAGATTCCTAGCTATCATCTGATGTGTCTTAATTTGGTAGGGATTCCAAAATACATTTCTTATTATTTTTGTCAACATAAACCCCTCACTCCTCTTCCTCCTTTCTAATGTTTCTGTTTTGACCTCCATGTCTTCAGCCTCACAGGAGAGAACTGGACCGGGAGTTGGACCGACACCACCCCAAAGTAATGACACACTTTTCAGCAGTCTTCATATCAGTTTCTATATTTTCATCAATCTTTGTGAATGCCTTGAAGTGTTTATGCTAGGTGTCTACGTGTGTCATTTTCACATGTTTGTGTGTGTTTTTGCGTATTCAGGGGTGTGTGTAGGTGCTGTGGGTCTGCACTAGAGTCCATCCAGCTGACTCAGGAAGAGTACCATCAGCTCAAACACAGAGTGATGTCTGACATCATCGAAGGAAAAGATGTTTTTAACAAGACTACACCAGAGGTACACACACACACATAAACTAACAATGTCTTAACAAATCAAACGTTATAAAGAACAACTGTTTGAGCAAGTCTAGCTTGGATTTCCATTTCATTTAATGCTGTTTGTGAATTAATGTTAAAGAAATCTGCTGTTAATTTGATCTACATCTTTATTTACTTTGAAATTTAAATAGGATTTGATCTATAACCCATCAGGCTCATCATCAGGCTAATCACTTTTAGTTTGAGCACTTTGAGAACTTCCCAGCTATGTTTAGTGTGCCATTTTAAAAAGTATGTTTGTTTAGTTTTGGGTTCTTGGGTTTTAAACACAACAAATATTCTAACAATAATTGTACTCGGAATTTGTTTTAGATTATGAGACAGCACATACATTTCAACACTACAGCCAATCCTGCCATAAAAAAAAAATAAAATAATGTAAGTATATTAAAAAAAAATATATATATATATATATATATATATATATATATATACACACACACACACATACAGTTGCAAGAAAAAGTATGTGAACCCTTTGGAATTTCCTAGTTTTCTGATTAAATTGGTCATTAAATGTGTTCTGATCTTCATCTAAGTCTCAACAATAGACAAACACAGTCTGCTTAAACTAATACCACACAAACAATTATATGTTTTCATGTTTTTGTTGAACACAACATGTAAACATTCACAGTGCAGGGTGGAAAAAGTATGTGAACCCCTAGGCTAATGACTTCTCACAGAGCTAATTGGAGTCAGGAGTCAGCCAACCTGCAGTCCAATCAATGAGACGAGATTGGAGGTGTTGGTTAAAGCTGCCCTGCCCTATAAAAAACACTCTCCAGTTTTGAGTTTGCTATTCTCAAGAAGCATTGCCTGATGTGAACCATGCCTTGACAAAAAAGCTCTCAGATGACCTACGATTAAGAATTGTTGACTTGCATAAAGCTGGAAAGGATTACAAAAGAATCTCTAAAAGCCTTGATGTTCATCAGTCCACGGTAAGACAAATGGTCTATAGATGGAGAAAGTTCAGCACTGTTGCTACTCTCCCTAGAAGTGGCCGTCCTGTAAAGATGACTGCAAGAGCACAGTGCAGAATGCTCAATGAGGTGAAGAAGAATCCTAGAGTGTCAGCTAAAGACTTACACAAATCTCTGGCACATGCTAACATCTCTGTTGATGAATCTACGATACGTAAAACACTCAACAAGAATGGAGTTCATGGGAGGACACCACGGAGAAAACCACTGCTGTCCTAAAAAACATTGCTGCACGTTTGAAGTTTGTAAAAGAGCACCTGGATGTTCCACAGCACTACTGGCAAAACATCCTGTGGACAGATGAAACCAAAGTTGAGTTGTTTGGAAGGAACACATAACACTATGTGTGGAGAAAAAAAGGCACAGCACACCAACATCAAAACCTCATCCCAACTGTGAAGTATGGTGGAGGGGGCATCGAGGTTTGGGGCTGCTTTGCTGCACCAGGGCCTGGACAGGTTGCTATCATCGTCGGAAAAATGAATTCCCAAGTTTATCAAGACATTTTGCAGGAAAACTTAAGGCCATCTGTCCACCAATTGAAGCTCAACAGAAGATGGGTGATGCAACAGGACAACGACCCAAAGCACAGAAGTAAATCAACAACAGAATGGCTTCAA